TCTTCTCCTCCCCAACAAATGTCAAGGGAGCCCTCACTAGGCTGGCTCTGCGTGGCACACCTCACTGGCATGCCACTCAATCTGCCACCTGGCTCCCACTCTGCCTTCACCTCCTCTGCTTCCCCTTTCCCAACTCTGCCTATTGCTATGTCATTGATTCGTCATCTAATATCTTGATCAGCTATTGAGATAGTAGAAGGATCAGGAATGTACACACATTTAGTTTTTTATAATTGCACAAGTACCCACCCTGTACTGCTGTTAGAATGTCTAATGCCATCCAATTTTGGAGGATGGCCTGTTTCATTAATTTTACTTTTTTTATTTAGGAGAGACAGACCACTTGTGTGTCGTTTAAGGCCTGCTTGGTATAGTTAGGTAAGGCCTCAATATATGTTGATTGATTTTTTTCTAGAGTCTCATGCACCTCCTTTGTTACTTCCACTGTTACCATGGGTACCTTTAGAATTGTTTTACTGTATTGTCCCTCAGGTTTGTCTTTGATGAGCTAGAAATATAGGGTTTTATCTTGCTTAAGTGTCTTCTCATTTTCTTTCTTTCTTTTCTTTTTCTCAGTTTCACTCCTGAGTTGATGCTTGTAAATTTCTTGTGTTGAATAGCTTTATTGCTAGTGTTTAGAACCCTTAGAAAATGACTGCTTCTCAGAGATGTCTTCCAGGTATCGTGACTTTTGGGTGTGACATCTGTTGCAAGATTCTACCTCTTCAATTTAATGGTAATGAGAAATTTCTTCCTATTTTCCCACTGCCCCTGGTTCTTTGGCACTAGCCTAATTACTTTTTATGCCTCTTGGGCAATATCAGTCTTGGCAGACCAGGAAGTCCAACTATGTTACCTTGGCTAAAGTAGTACAATCAGCAATAAGAACAGCATCAAACAGTCTAGAAAATGACAAAAAATGATAACTATTAATGTGCCACTTTTGACTGTATGAGCTAGATTGTGGTTATAAAACAAAACCTAAAAACAATCCAAAAATTATATACAGTACATAAACCCTCAGTATGGCAATTTTAACCTCTGGGAGAAAATTTAAAATGGTTAGGGAGAAAAATAAAAAAATAGAGATTAGAACCAAGACTGGAGGACAAAGGAAGATTATGTAAACTTTGGAAGAAGACAGGAGAGAGAGGAAAGAAATAAAACCAAGAATAGAATAGAACAACAAAAACAAAAACCTGGAAACAATGTTCACACTTATATAAAACAAGAACAATCAGGAACAAAACAAAAAAAGAAACAAATATCCACTTAAAGACATATCTGTACTGTCACTGGTAGATGAAGTTGGCATACAGAGTCCAGATCCAAACTGATTAATCCTAGCAAGCCAGTCATAACTTTACAGCAGGGTAGTGAGTAACCCCAGCAAGTCTGCACCTTTAGTGCCACTGAAATCCAAGCTGGTTCTCAGGTTCAAACTCAATTTGTTCAGCTTGCAACATTTCATGTGTCTGCTGCTGGCTGAAACTTGGTTCCTTTAACTCCTGCCAACTTCAACATGGAAGCTTCACCCTGACACTAGCAGCTGCTACATGGATCAAGCCTGTAGTTCTGAGTTCTGAGTTCTGAGTTCAGTTGGCCCCTCTCCAAGATAGCTACCAGCCAATTACACCTCCCACCCTGGGGGATGTCTGAATCCAAATAATTTACCAGCCACTGCAGTTTTTTTGGATCCAGTGCTCCATTCCACTGGTTCTTTTCTCCACTGAGGCCTCTGGGGTTGCCAGTAGTCACTGAGTCTGTAGTTTTGAATCATCCCCTCCCATGCAGTGAGTCAGAGTCTAAAAAAGCCCCACCTATGACTATATGAGGCCTCAGAGGCTTCAAGACACATTATATAACAATATATACGCATAGACATATAAGCATGTGCCTTTTATATGTTAAATATAAATATATATTAAATATATATTAAATATAAATCCTAGCTGGGCATAGTGCACACATCTGTAATCGCAGTATTTAGGAGGCTGAGGCAGGAGGATCACTGTGATTTTGAGGTCAGCTGGGGTACATAGTGAGTTCAAAGTCACCTTAAATTACAGAGTGAGACTTTGTCTCAAAAATAAATAAGTAAATAAGTAAATAAGAGTCCTTAGGTGGCTGACCCTTGTGTCTTTTGTATTTTATAAGGGACAGAGAGCTGGTTACTCTGGCCTTTTCCCTTTTTTGTGAAAGAACTTCACTATGTAGTCCAGACTGAACTCACTGTATAGTTCAAGCCGTCTTCAAATTCACAGCAATCGTCTTCTGTCAGGCTCCCGAGTACTGAGATTACAGGCATGTGCCACCACATCCAGCTGCTCTAGTCTTTCATGTTCCTGGCTACATACCTAATTTGCCTGTAGACTCTTCCTGCTAAATTCTCATTTTGTATTACTTAGCATCTTCTAAGATCTGGTTTCTCTCTCTTTCTTTACCTTTATCTTCTTAATTGCTGGAGTCTAACTGCAGAGGGAAAAGCTGCATTTAGTAAGATTTCCTATTAATTTTTAAATAAAACTTAATGAGACCTTATTTTGTCTTTTTTTTTCTGCCTTTGATTCCCCTGTCCATATACTACAAGCTGATAATAATAAGTCATTAGGTACAGTTGTGCTGGGAGGGGACTTGAGTGGTGCCATCTCTAGTCAGGATTACTGTGGATTGGCATCCCAGATCGAGCAGAGCCCTGAATATAGTGACCACCTTGGGGAGCAGAGACAGGCAGTGCATACCCAGGGCCATAGGTGGTGGTTGAGGGGAGCTGAGGGAGACAAGATAGAGGGTAGGCATAGGCCTGAGGGAATAAGGTGGGAGCCGTGGCATGGGCTGCAGAGTTGTTCAGGGGTGGTGACTTCCTGGAGCAGGAAAGAATGGGCCTCTGGATCTATTCTTCATTTTGGCCCCCAATGGGTACAGTCAGGAATGCACCCTGCAGGGGGCAGCTTTGGGTACCTACATGAGACTGAGTAGGGGGAGCAGGGGCAAGGGGAGGAGTGTCTAGGGGCAGAGCAGGGTGTGGATCTTGGCAGGGTGTGACTGGACCCAAGATAACACCTTCCTCTGGGACTCTATCCCAAACCCCACATCCACTGGGAGCCCAGGCCTCTTTAGTTCCCACAGTGGCTTTGCTTCCCCTTTATTCTTTTTCCAGTTACCCAACATCCAGTAACTTTCCAGCAAAAACCCATGGAAAGTAAACTTCCCAGCTTGAGTATATGGGAAAGCATCTTTACTTCTTGCTCCTGGTACACGAACTAGATGCAGAAATTTTGGGGAGGTGCACAATTTTAAGTGGAAATCATCCTCACTCAGAAAGTGTAAGGCTTACTCTTTTGCCTTTGGCAATGGTATCACTCTGTGATCAGTGGTTCTCCGGAGACAGTCTTGGTCCTTTCCAGTATTTTCTAATGTTTGCCAAGGTGAGCCTTAAGGTCAATGGCTTGTTCTCTGGCCTATACTCTGAGCTCACAGAGAATTAGTATCAGTGGATACCCTTATGCGGGACATTTTTCTCTTATCATAAACTGGAAGCTTCAAACAACAGAAAGTTATCCTGTCACAGCTATAGAGACCACACATCTGAAACTAAGATGCTAAGCTCCCCCTAGAGATTAAGGGAGGGGGACCCTTTGTCTCTTTCAACTTCTGGGCTCCAGATGCTTTTATGGCCTCAATGCTTCTCTGCTGCTGTCTTCAAATGGCTGTCACCTGGGCCCTCTGTCTTCGTCTTGTATGAGGACAATGGCCCACTGGACTCAAGGCCCACCAGGATATTCAAGATAACCTCATCTCAGGATCTGCAAAGACCCTCCATCCACATAAGGTCATATTCACAGCCCCAGGGTCAGCTCTTAGATATGACTTTTCAGGAGGTTTATTTGTTATGGCTTATATCTAGATGTCCCCTCAAAGCCTCATGCACACATAGGTGGAGCTTTTAGGAATGATATATTATGAGCATGTGATACTGGATTAGTCCATTGTGGTTTTGCAAAGTTCTGGGTATGGATAATGGATTTATTGAAGAGGGAAGACCCACTGTGGTATGGGTTTTGTAGCCTGGATGGAATAAAAACTGTAAAGAAGGAAGCTGCACTGCCCCCTGCATGTCACACACTACAAAATGTTTCTTCTCTATCAGAGCGCTGATCTAAAAACCAGCCCAACTGTAAACTGAAACCTCTATAAACTTCGAGCTAAAAGTTTCCTCCTTTAACTTGTAAGTTTTGGGTATTTCAATCCAACAATGAGAAAGTAACTAAGATATTGTTTAATCCACTACACAGCCTGTATCCAAAATAAGTTAGAATAAGACAGAGCTGTTTTCCTGATTTATAACATGAGCCACACATGTATTGAAGTAGCACATTACCCCATTGCCATGAACAATTTTTATGTTTTTGCCTATCAAGTTAAAAATAAATTTAGCCCTATATGTTGACTTATGCCTGTAGTCCCAGTTTCTAGACAGGCTAATGCAAGAGGATCAGTTAAACCCAACAGTTCAGGACCAGCCTGCGCAAGACCCCTCACCTGAGACAAAAACAAGCAAGAAACAGTAAACAAATACAATTTAATTAGAGTTATCTAATCCTGAGGGGGAAAAGAGTCAATGTGACTCCAACCATGTTTCAGTTAATTTTCCAAAGAAGGGAGGCAAGACCTCACAGAAGGTGGCTGAGCATGGTTAGAATGCTGGACACCAGGGCAGTCTTGGTTCTAATGAGTTCTAAACTCCAGTCAGGTCCCCTGTCCTGCTTTGACTTCTGAAACATGAATCCATATGCTCCTGTTAAAGGCATTAGTTCCAGTCTGCCTCTAAGCCAATTTGACAAGGCTTTGTACTCAGTACAATGCTTTTCCAAAGAAACTGTGTTTCTTTTAAGGCTGTTTCCTTGGGAATCCTGGACTCAGGACTGAAGGCAGATGCAGGAAGTTCCTGACACCTAGCCAGGACTGAAGAAGGAAAACCACTCAATCGGAGAGCTGTGAGGGATGAGGCCATTACATGAGCCCGACACCACCTCCTATATTCGTCCAGCAGAGACACTGGTGCCCTGTTCTCTCAGCATGGATCACCCCGGGAGGAGAACCCTACTTTTCTTCCTTGCTTTTGTGCCCATATATTTACATGGAGCTTCATCACAGGAAGGCAAGCTAGTACAGCAAAGGAAACCATTTTTTGAGAGACTCCGTAGATTAGAAGAGCAGGTAAGTGTACCGTACTTGGGCAGATGAAGGATGGCCATACCAGACACAGAGCTGTAAGTGCTGGCACTCTGGACCTGATTGTACAGTTTATGGGCCTTGTTAGCAGCTAACAGTATTCCCACCAGTAATTAGAAACCTGAGCCACACCCTAAAATCAAGCAAGATGATATGTGAATGGGGAGCTGGGGGATTTGAGGAGCCTCTCAGGGTCCAAAGAGCACAACAAGGGGGATTTGGGGGTCTGATGGTACTGGGCAATGCCACTGGGTGTGGGAGCTGTGATCTCATAAGCTCACCTAGAAACAGAGGGCATGGATGTTCTTGAGACTCTTTCCTGGAGTTTTTAGACTATTTCCAGCTCTGAGTACTTCTATTTTCAGTCTGGTGAAGTACTCACACAGGTCATCCCACAGGCTCCTTCACTCACAGGGGAGACTTTGAAGGCCACAGCAGTGAATCAACTGGCTGCAATCATCCAGAGAAGGTGTTTGGAGGAAGATAGCAGCCTGAGCTGTGGTACTGCAGTCCACACCCTACACTGTACTGCTGTAGGACCTGTATTCCCTTTGTGGTCTGCCTTCTGGGACTGTTCATGGTAACTGACCTGAGTCTTTTGGCATTGTGGCATAGATCAAATTGGTCCATCAACATGTCATTCCAGCTAGTCATAATCCCAACACTCTGGGAAACTGAGACAGGGGGATTGCAAGTTTGAGCCCAAATTGGGCAATGTAACTATTTATCAAGACCCTGTCTCAAAATAAAATATAAAAAAAGGGCTGGATGAGGCCAGGCTTGATGGCACCTGCGTTTAAATCCCAGCACTCTGGAGGTTAAGGAAGGAAGATCACGGCAAGATAGAGGACATCCTGGGATATATAGGAAGACCTGTCTCAAAAAAAAAAACCCTAAATAAACAAATAAATGCAGTGCTGGTCATGAACCCTGCATGCAGTGAGGACTTTCTGAAGGGTAAACAGGAAGGCATTTTACTTCCTGCCACTCCCTATAACCACTCTGTCCTCTTCACAGTTTCAAAGATTCCAAGAGGTCACCCTGACACACCTGCAGGGCATCGCAAACAACTACAATGTGTCCTACAATATTGACACCCAATTCCAAAGGCTCACAGAAGAGAGTCAGGCTTTGGTTCTGACAATCAACAGGTCACAGGCTGCTGTGCAGGAGGATCTGGCCCACCTAAAGACTTGGATGAAGAAGACCAAACGTCGAGGCCGGAAGGTAGATACAAGGCTGCAGGCCTTGGACCTTGCTCTGAGTGAGAAGAGCAAGCACCAGGCTTGGGAAGGGAAGAATCAGAAGGCACAGCAGGATGCTATCTCACGCCTGGCCCTGAATGTGTCTACTCTGCAGAACACACTGGCCCATCTGGAACATCAGGTCAATAGGCAGAGCACCAGACTAGCTGCTCTTGAAGGGCAGCTACAGATGGCCAACTCTGACACTGCAGCCCAGGGGCTGATCCTGGCCCCAAACCAGCCTATGCAGCCAGGTCTGAACTCCCCGAAGCTCTATCACGAAAAGCAGGCACTCAGACACAGGAATTCACCCCAGGATCTCACCGCTACTCTCCAGGGGACACAGAAGCCCCCATCCTCAAGCAACCATTGGACATCTACAGCAGCTCCAAGGGGCCCTCCTCAGCTGGCATGGCCTCCCCAGGGAACAGGAAAAAGTAAGTGTTTCAGGCCTGGCCTCCCCACAAATCTCCCTCCAGGTTTCCCAATGGTTCCTCCTAAAAGCACAGTATGCTACCCCCCACCAAATTCCCCGTAAATTTTCTCCCGGGGGTCATAAGGAGAGGACACTGGGTTCACACTCCACATACCCTGCTCCCTAGAAGAGGAGATGACGTGAATCTGCAATCATCCAAGTGACCATCTGAAGGCAGGTCACCAGCAGGCCATGTTCTTCATGGCAGAAGGACTTCTTCAGAGGTGGTTGAGTCAGGACTTTGAGATGACAATAATTCTGGATTATTTGATGGGTCCAGTGTGGTCATGGGGCTCAGACAGGGAGGCAGAAGGATCAGAGGTGGAGGGGATGTGGGGACAGAAGCACAGGCTTCAGGAATGCATTCTGAACACCAGTCAAGGACCATCCACAGCTCTAGAATATGGGAAGGGCTGGATAAGGCAACTTGTCCCATGGAGCCTCCAGAAGAAGCTAGGCCTGCCAATACCTTGATTTGAACCTGTAAGACATTTTTACCTCCAGAAATGGAAATAAACTTGGGTTGGGTAGCTTTTCTTTATTTGTTTTTACAGTACCCGGTATTCAACTCAGGCATTATCTACCATACAGCCTTATTTTGAGAGAGATGTATATTGCCTTGACTAGCACCAGAAATGCTTTAAATTATTAAATTAATTTATCTAGGCATGGAGGCATATTCCTGTAATCCCAGCACTCTTGGAGCCTGAGGTAGAACTGCAAGTTTGAGATCAGCCTGGACAATTTAGCGACTTAGCAAGACCCAGTCCCATAATAAAAAGACCTGGGAATGTAGCCCAAAGCAAAGGCCTTGTGTTCAGTACCACAAATAAATAAGTAAATAAATTTATGGCAACTTGTTACAGCAGTCACAAGAAATGTAGATAGAGGTTCTCATAGCGGCAAGGAGATAGACAGACAGCTCCTGCTTACATGGGGCTCAGCCACTCCCTTTGGAGATGCTCTCATTCTCTGTCCCTGATGGAGTGGGGTTCATTTCAGAAGGGTAAATGAGACCCTGCCAGGTATGCTCACGAGAGCCAGCACAGAGTTAGAACTCCTGGCAACATGGTGGCTAAAACTTCAGATCATCCCCTCCTAGAGTAAGGAGCATATCTACAGCGCTGATACTCCTGGATGCTTTGGGATTACCTCACATTTCAAGGCTCACTCTCCCTCCCTCTGTTTCTAGTTTGCAACATAGGCCCTGTGTTTGTCTTTCCGAATGCCTCCGCTGAAAACGTGGTCTTCCTCAGCCCTGGGTTCCTCAAGGGTCTACGCGCCCTGTCCTTCTGCACCTGGATCCGCATGACCTCTGGTTACCTGGGCACCCTCTTCTCCTATGCCACCGAAGACAATGACAACAAGCTGGTACTGCATGGCCGAGATTCTCTGGTTCCTGGCTCCATGCACTTTGTAATTGGAGACCCAGCCTTCAGGGAGTTGCCCCTGCAGCTGCTGCTGGACAGTCAGTGGCACCACATCTGTGTTAGCTGGACTTCCACCCAAGGCAGGTACTGGCTCTATGTGGACCGCAGGCTAGTTGCCGCTGGCTCTCACTTCAGGGAGGATTATGAGATCCCTCCTGGGGGATCCCTTGTGCTGGGCCAGGATCAAGACAATGTCGGGGGTGGTTTTGACAGTGCTGAGGCCTTTGTGGGGAGCATGTCTGGCTTGGCCCTCTGGGACAGGACCCTGTTTCCTAGAGAAGTTGCAAACCTTGCAATTGGGAAAGAGATCCCTACAGGTGCCATTCTGACTCTAGCCAATGTCACATTGGTACGGGGATTTGTACAGAGAATCAACTGCCCTTGCCTGGAGCATTGTCCATAAAGCCACACCATGCAGGCCAGTGAGAGGAGCCCCTCACCTTTCCCATCTGCATTGTCCTCAGCTATGTATGCATACCTGGGCTCTAATGTAGGAGGTGGGAGTGGCCAACGAAATATCTACAGTGAGAGGGGGGACCCCAGGCAAGTTCAGGGTCCATACGCTGCATCCCCCCATCTCTGCAGCATTCTTATTCTTACATGTTGCACCTTCGTGGGTCACTTCATTCTTTGCAGATGACATTATTTTACCTTGGCTTGTTCCAGCCCAGCAGGAGTGCTAGATTCCAGCAGGTGTCTCCTCTCAGTGTGCCCTTTTAGTGATAAAGGGCCAGCTGGTCAAGGCCAGTTCCCAGGAGATGCCCTCATTCTTTCCAACTGTGCAGATGGCCGTATGTATCATCACCAACTTCTCTCAAGAAAACTTTGGTAGGCTCTCCTCTGAGTCTATGAAGATGATGAATGATGCCTTTAAACCAATTTATAAGGTATAATTTTCATATTATAAACCATACCCTTTAAGTGTACCATTCAAAGATTATAGTAAATATGTTGAGTTATACAATCATCACCATAATCTAGTTTTTGAGTATTTCAGTTGCCTCTAAATGCTTCTTGTTAATGATCACTCTTGCTTCTAGCCCCCGCAACTTCATCTGCTTTCTGCCTATGGATTGGCCAATTCTAGGTATTTCATATAGATGAAATCCAGCCTGTAACCTGTGTCAACCTTCTGTCTTTCAGCATCACATTTTCTAGGTTCATCTAAACCTGATGTCAGCACATCACTCCTTTTTGTGAGTGAATAATATTCCATTGTATGAGTGGGCCACATTTTCTTTATCCACTCATTATCTGATGGAAATTTAGGTTATTTCAAGTTTTTGATTATTGTGAATAAAGCTGCTAAGTATTCTTGTACAAGTCTTTGAGTGGATGTGTTCTATCTGTCTTGGGCAGATGCCCAACAGTGGATGGATCATACGATAAATTCATGGCTAGGCTTTTGCAGAAACTGCCATACATTACTACCAGAAATATATGAATGATTCTATTTTTAATCTCCTTGCCAATGCTTGGCTTTGTGTGTGTGTCTGTGTTTGTCTTTTTGAAACAGAGTCTCACCATGCAGATCAGGCAAGCCTTTAACTCACTTTGTAGCACAGACTGGCTCAAACTCACAGCAATCCTCCTAACTCAGCCTCCCAAATGCTGGGATTACAGACATGTGCCAACACACTAGGCTGGTTTTGTGTCATTTGATGATTTTTTTGTAGAATTCAAGATTTAAGCAGGTAAAAAAATGAAACACATGTTAACTTTGACTACAGGCATTTTTACTATAAGTTTTGGTGTGATATAAATTGACCCTTATAATGGTAGTGATCCTTAAAGAAGACTTAAACTAAAGATCACAAAATTAGAATCAACTGGTACATACTGGAAGACAGGATGATGTTGGATGAAGCATGGAGAGGAGGACCCTGCCAAGCCTGGGAACATCTACTCTACATGTCACTCTTATCATCCCATTCCATTCCATTTCTCTTTGTGGTGCTGGGATTGAACCAGGGTCTTCATACTAAACTACATCCTCAGCCCTTTCTATTTCTTATTTTGAGACAAAGTCTCACTAAGTTGCTAAGTTGCTCAGGTAGTGCTCAAACTCCTGCCTCTGCTTCGCAGAGTGGTAGGATAACAGGCATGTAAGAGTGTCCTCCACCCATTTTAAAAATCAGAAAGTAAACTGGGTGTCGTGGCACATGCCTGTAATCCCAGCACTCAGGAAAGTGAGGTAGGGGGTTGTTGTGAGTTCAAACCCAGTCTGGGCTACAGAGTGAGTTTAAGGCCAGCCTGAACTACATAGTGAGACATTGTGTCCAAAAAAAAAATCAGAAAGTAGACTAGAGTAAACCCATGCTCAGAGCTAACTACGGGGGTCCTAAAACTTTCTATCCTCCTTCACCCTGACTCCAGGCGTGGACAGTTTCAACTCTGTGGAGGCCTGAGCACCACCCTTCACCCATAAGTAGGTAGCCAGCCAGGGGTACAGAACTGCCCAGCTGCTCTGGTGGTGTTCTGTATTAGTCCCCTGAATCTCTTAGCAGCATATCTCAGATCTCAGTGGATCAATGCTCTGGACCTTTGGCTCATATCAGCCTAGCTGGCCTCTCCCAATACCACCTCTTCATGAGTCAAGGTCAGGGATAAATTTTAGAACTTGAAATCCCTGTGGGCACTATGTAGGGCACGCTTGAATCACTGGCTTCTGCTTCCTTAGGACTGTCTGACTTGTTAGAGGGCCCGTTTCACCTTTTTAGAAAGACATTGTTTATTGAACCTTGTGCCTTTGCACTGAACTACATTCCCAGGCCCTTTTTTGTTTTTTATTTTGAGGCAAGGTCTCACTGGGCAGCCCAGGTGGGATTCAGACTTGCTGTCCTCCTGCCTCAGTCTCCCAAAGTACTGAGATTACAAGTGTGCATATCCCACTCAGCATTTTTTTAGGTGGCTCCTTGCTCATTGCCTGAGGCTGCCCTGGAAATCCTAGACTCAAGTGATCCTCATGCCTCAGCCTCCTAAGTAATTTAGACCACAGGTATTCCCTACTTCACCTGGTTGGGAGCCTTTTCTGCCTCTTCTGATATTTTCTAGAACTCTCTCTCTCTCTCTCTCTCTCTCTCTCTCTCTCTCTCATTTCTCTCTCTCTCTCTCTCTCTCTCTCTTTCTCTCTCTCTCTCTCTCTCTCTGTTTTTTTTTTTTGACACAGGTCCTTTCTGTGTAGTCCAGGCTGGCCTTAAATTCACTATGTAGCCCAGGCTGGCCTCGAACTCATGGTGATCCTCCTGCCTCAGCCTCCCTAATATAATGCTGGGATTATAAGCATGCTTAGCTTTTTAGAACTCTCTTGCTCCATTTCATTTTGCAATTTTTTTGGAGACAGGGTCTCACTATGTAGTTCAGACTGGCCTTGAAGTCACTATGTAGCCCAGGATGGCCTAGAATTTGCAGCACTCTTCCTGTTTCTGCCTCCCAAGTGGTGGGGTCATAGTTATGTGCCAGCATGCTCAGCCTCATTTTCCATTTGAGGAAGGAGTCATCTGACATCTTCCTTTTGGAAAGACTAGTAATCTGATTAATAAATACTTGTAGAGGTACAGATAGGCCCCCAGCTGAGCTCAGTTGTCTTGAGCAGAGAGGTGATGAACTTTGATAGATTTGAGAACTCTTGCTCTCAGATTCAGCTTTGAGATAAAGGTAACAGTAGGCTTTCTCAAGCCTCCACATGCCAGAGAAAAGTCCGCAAGTTGTTATTTCAACTTGTCCCAGCTTTCAGGTGCTTATAATGCCCTGGGGCCACACTGTCAAGGTGTTCACAGCAATATTTAGCTTCGTGTCCCCACTAAAAAGCATTAGGAGCTTGGCAGAAGCAGGCATTACAGTGGGCAGCTGTGTTCAGGAAGTTTCATGGGTTGTGGGGAGACACTCCACATGGGCAGACGCTAGACTAAGGGTGTAGAGTTGTGGTAAATTACCAGTGTCAGGAGGCAGTGCCCAGATGGCATGAGAGGGCCCAGGGAGCAGTGGGGATTTGAGAGACGCAGATGTGGGAAGCCTATCTAGTTTTGGAACTAAGAAGTCTGAACATGCATCAGACATGAATCACCATCCCCACTGCAGTCAGCAGCAAAGTCATATGTCCATTTCGAAGCATAAACCATATCCCTCTAAAGCTACCAAATTCTTCCTTTAACTCATATCTGCTGTGTTCCCCAGTTAAGTAAAACACAATGACCTTGAGTACCCTCCAAGTGAAAGAGTCCTGGCAAGGAGCCATAGGCTGGTTTCTCTTTCTGCACCCACTCAACCCAGCCCACTCATCTTTATATACAGACACTGTTCCTTAAGAGGACAAGTTGAAATCAGGCACAGTGACACCTGCCTATAATCCTCAGTACTCAGTAGTTGAGGCAGGAAGATCTCAAGTTCGAGCTTAGCCTGGGCAACTTCTGAACTTAGTCTTTGCCTTAAAATTTAAAAATACATACATACGACTGGATAGGCAGCTCATTGACATTTGGCTACTATATGTCAAGTCCTTGGGGGCCATTCCTACACTGCACACAAAAAAAGAGAGCACAAGTTAGTTGAATCCCCTACTCTGTCCGGGACTGCCTTTGGGAAATGTTTCCACCTTGCTTGGACAGCCATAAAAATCAGCCATGCACGCAAGCATGACCCTTTATCCTGAGGACTCTTCTTTTCTTTTTTTTTGTACCAGGGATCGAACTCATGACCATGCACTTGCAAGGCAGGCTTATGCCTGCTGAGCTAAATCCCTGGCCTCTGAAGACTCTTTTCATGTTCCTTCCCACATGTCCTGCTATGTCTCATGCCACCTATATCACTTAGCTCTTCTGCCCACCAAGCAGCTTCCCCCAAATCTTAGGCACTCAGAAAAATGAAAACCTTTGATTTGGAAAAATTTCAAATTTAAAAGAGATTGCAAGACAAGTAAATTGTATATTATGTATGTGTGTGTTTGTCTCTCTCTCTCTCTCTCTCTCTCTCTATATATATATATATATATATATCCTAGAGTTATCAAATGTTAAATCTATCTATCAGTCCCATGTAGTTCTGGAGGTTGAACCCAGGACCTTTGCATTGTTCTACACCCCCTCTTTTTTTCTTTCTTTCTTTTTCTTTTTTTTTTTTTTTTTTTTGTCTTTTTCTTTTTATCAGTACCGGGGATCGAACTCACGACTGCCTGCTTGCAAGGCAGATGCTTATGTGCTGAGCTAAATCTCCAGCCCCCCCCCCCCCGCCTCTTTTTTGAGCCGAGGTCTCACTGTAGTTCAGGCTGACCTTGAACTCACTATGTAGTTCCAAGTTGGCTTCAAACTCAAAGCAATCTTCCTGCCTTGGTTGCTCCAATGTTGGAATTACAGCTGAGTGCCACCATGGCTGGTTTATTCTAAGTCTTTTTTTTTTTTTTTTTTTTTTGGTATTTTGAGACAGGGTCTTGTTAAATTGCCCAGGCTGAGTTTGAACTTGCGATCTTCCTATCTCAACCTCCATGAGGTAGGAACCCTACCCTAACCCTAACCCTAACCCTGGTTGTTTGGTTCTGCTTTGAACCTTTCTTTGTTCTTGACATTGGCCTTAGGGATGAGGACTGCTTGGATTTGGTTTATCTGACTTTTCCTTTATGGTGGGACACAGCTAAGTATATGTGTAAGTATAAGTACGTGGCAGAGTGATATAGGGACCTTCTTGGGCCATGCACCAGTACGGATAAGATGCCAGCTCGTCCAGTGGTTCAGGTGAAGTTCACCAGATTTCGCACAGCAAGTTTCCCTTTCCTTCATAATGAGAGTACTCTTCAGAGACTGGGGTGCATGCCGTCCCTGTCAGTCACCACTAGTTAGCTAAACTTACACGAGCCACAGGCCGCGCTCGACTCTACAATGAAGCAAGAACGAGGCCCTTGATGATGGAACCTGGCCCACTTGCCGGAATTCGGCCATCCGAACCACAGCTCCCAAGAGGCCCCGCGCGCACCGCCCTCGGTGGCTACAGTCTCTGGTCACGTGACAGCCGCCTCAAGTCATGTGCCTGCCGGCGCGACGTCATGTGATCGCCGGCGCGGGTCACGAGAACGCACTTGGGGGCGGTGGTGGGTTCCCGCGGAGTCAGTTCGCTGCGGGCCATGGCCAACGTCTCCAAGAAAGTGTCGTGGTCCGGGCGCGACCGCGACGACGAGGAGGCGGCACCGCTCCTGCGGAGGACGGGTCGGCCGGACGACGGGACGCCGCTCCTGAACGGGGCTGGGCCCGCCGCGCGCCAGGTGAGGCCGTCTAGGGGCCCTGGCGCGGGATGGCTTCCAGTCACGCTGAGAACCTAGGTTGGGGAGGGCCATCTGCTGGGTCAGCGGCGGCTAGGTGGCCGGCAGGGTGGGAAACGGGTACGCTGCTCCCTGCCCTGGATAGCCGCGACTGCAGTTTATTTCCTTGCGGTATTCTGAAGAATGACTTCAAAGTGGAGGCTGATAGCCATTTCTCTCTTTAAATTGTAATAAACGCACCAGCAACTGTTTTTGTGTTTTGAATGCCGGGATGTTTTAAAGTTGTTGGCAGAGTTACTCTTTCTGTTGCTGTTTTAGTGAGGTCATTGAGGATGTCCATGCCCCACCTTTCTCTGTGGGAACAGTCTGACACTGAGAGCGATGATAGCTCTGGCAAGTGTTGGGGACTCCGTTTCTTTTAGCACATAATTGAATTTGAAATGTGCAACACTGTAAGTAACAAATCTGATAGGTTGGAATGTGCTCATCAGGCAAAATGCAGTTTGGGTCATTAAAGACATTAAGATTCGGAGAAGAATTTACAGTTTCTTTTATTTTCCCCTAAATCTGACTTGTGTACTCTTAATTGTGAATCAGCGAATTATTCAGGTTGACTGGTCTTGATTTACCTTGTAACTATCTTTTAACTTTTCTACGTTTTAGATTTGTGTATTTAGCACTTGTACGTTTAGAGGTTAGGAAAGACTGAAAAATTAGGCGGTTTTCTACGTCAGTGTGGAGTTGCATGCTAGTAATCCCAGCACGCTGGGAGGTTGAAGAATGAGAATCAAAAGTTCCAGCCAACCTAGGAAGTTAAGCGATTTAGTAAATCCCTGTTTCAAAATATAAAAAAGGATTGGGATATTGTTCAGTGCAGAGGCCCTCGGTTCAATTTCCTGTACCCACCTCCATCAGACTGTCTGTAGAACCGTCTAATTTTTGAGAAATTTCCGGTCCCTTAAAGATGCATTTGACAATGAAAAGCATTTGTCTGCCTTTGCTGTTAGGAAGCAGCTCAGTTCTCTTTGAAGTGACATCCGGTTGCATCCCATGATCTGCAAAAGTGGTCTGAAGTGGGTAATCTAGAGTGGTGGGGCTGTGTCGTTAGATCTTTTCTCCATGGAGTACTTCTGTTTTTTTCCCCCCTGTTTTCAAAGAAATCTGAAGTTCATGAAACAGAAAAGTGGTTTAAGGGCGTGCAAAAAGATTACAAACCTTGACAGAGATTGAGTTTATCTCAGAAGGAAATGGGCATGGGCTTTGTTGCTTTTCTTTGCAAATAGATACAGGAGTTGGCTTTTTTTTTTTAAGAATGTGTTGATTTAGTCCTTTAAATATCACTACAACTTTTTTTGCTTGTTTGAAATTAATGACAATTTATTAGTGGCTCTGAAAAAATAATTGATTGTGTACCTACCATGTGGCCAGTTCCATGTAGTTTGCCTAGGACTCTGAGGTGCACATAGCCTCTGTCTAGACACAGAACCAGCATCCTTTGAGGACTATTTGAGGGGCCTAAAGAGCATGAGAAGTTTCACTGTTATGCAGGGGGGTTTGGGGGTTTTTTTTTTTTTTTTTTTGGTCTTTTTGAGACAGGATCTCACTATGTAGTTCAGAATGGACTTGAATTTACTATGTAGCCTAGCCTGTCCACAAACTTGCAATGGTCCTCCTACCTCAGTTTCCAAGTACTAGGATTACACGCATGCACCACCATGTCTGGTCTGTTACGCAGTTTGAAGAGTGCAAGATCCTCAGGCAGGTGGAGTGACAGCAGAGGCCACGGGAGTGTTTGTATGTGGGATTCTGCAGTATTTGGAATGCAGTCTAGGGTATGTGAGCACATGAGCTGGTTTTGAGTTTAGTTCAGCTCCAGACTAGCACAGTAGAAGCTGAAAACTTGAGCCCTTAGGGATCCTAGGCCTGTTCACTTTGTAGTTAATGCTGGCTTTGAACTCACTATGTAGCCCAGGCTGGCTTTGAACTTGTGTTTATCTTCCTGCTTCAGCCACTTTCCGTCCCCAGTGCTGGGATTATAGCTGAGCCACCCTTCTTGGTAATGTCTTTGCATTTGTATTTATGCATAACTCCTTTAGAAGCTGACTAAATTTCTTGGTTCTGGGTTTTTTAGAATCTGTGGTGGTGGGCCAGCTCAGGCTCAGGGTTCTCTCTTGCTATATTAGACAAGGCCAGAGCCCATTGGAACTAAAACACCAACCTGGGTTACAGCATCTTTGGGAACATTTTGGTGAACTGAGTGTGAGGGCTTGTTCTGGCTCTTTCCTGACCCTTTGGGGTTGTTGCACAATTTCTGGATTTGGACAGTGGCATTGGTGCCATTTCAGCAGGGACAGAGAGACTCAGCACCATGTGGTAGTACCAGGCTGGGCAGTAACTTAATTGTAGCTCAGGCTCTTTAGAGCTCTCTGTGGATCCCATTCCTGTTCTTAGGTCCCTGGGCTAAGCATGGAGGACCATGGGACAGGGTGAGATCAGCTAGCAAGTCATGGTCATGTGTGCAGGCATCATGGAACCTTTCCAGAATTGGTCAAAAGATATGTGTTAGCACCAGGAACAGACTGCTAGGTGGAATAGGGGGCTGAGTATATTTGTAGTATTCTTAAGTGCAAGACAAGGTTGTGCCCACTTTGGGAAGCAGCATCATGTACTTCCAATTGAGGAGGGACCGCAGGTTAGTGTCTAACTTTGTCTTTCCCTGGTAACCTGGAGTCACTGACCACAGCTTGAGGGTGCTGGGTATCTGAGGGTACAGTGAAGCTGTGGGGGAAGGTCCTCTAGTTATCTCTAGAGGTCCTCGAGCTCTGCTTTTTTCCAGGACATGCCCTTCTGGTCCCCAGCCACCTCCCTCAGTATCTCTTACCCAAAACGTGAGTAAGATGAGGTCAGCCAAGGATGTGCCCAACAGAATGCAGAGGACTGAGGGAAACAGCTGGGCCTAGACCTGATCAGAGTATTCTGGGAGGCCTCCTTAGCAGAGACCATAATGCACAGAATGAGATGTATGGATTGTCTGTTGCATACCCAAGACTGCTCCACTGCTACTTGCCCCTCCTTGCTCTTAGCTAATCTGCTTATTGGAGGATCTCTCCCCTCGTGGCCCAAAAGCTGTAGTCTCTCCCTCTTATTCTCCATTGCCTTTGTCAGAGATTATGGTTACCTTTTGTATGTGACCTTGTTTCCTTTGACCATAAGCCACTGGTGGGGTAGCCTGTCTGTCCTCAGTGCTTTGCATAGAACCTCCTATTTGGCAGTTGCTCAGTGAATGTTAGAATGCAGAACAGGCAGTGTGGAACAGCAGACAGTCTTTACAGTTTTCAAAAGTCATTTTAAAAATTGTAAGAGCCAGGAGTGGTGGTGCATGCTTGGAATCCTAGGACTAAGGGAGGCTGAGACGGGAAGATTGAGAGTTTCACTCCCGCCTGGACAATTTTATCAAGACGCTATCTCAAAAAATAAAAAGGGCTGCGGATGTAGCTCAGTGGTAGAGCACCCTTGGGTTCCATCCTCAGTACTGCACCAATAAAAAAAATGTGTTTGGTAAAACTCATGTAACATCTTAGCATCTTAACCATTTTTATGTGCATCCTTCAGTAGTGTGAAGTATATTCTTATTGAGCTGGGTATGTGATACATGCTTTTAAGTCCAGATACTTGGGAGACTAAGGCAGGAGTATCACAGATTCAAGCCCAACATAGACCCTTTCTTAAAATAGAAAGCATAGGGCCTGGAGATAAAGTTCAGTAATAAGGCCATTGGTTCAGTTCCCAGTATGCAAAAAATAAATACATTATTATTGTGTAATCTCCAGAACTTTTTCATTTTGCAAAACTGAAACTGTTCCTACTAAGTAACACTCTACTTCCCTATCCCCCAGCCCCAGGCCATCATGACTCTACTTTCTGTTTTTATAGTACTATACTACCTATCTAATGTAAGTTAATTTTTTTATTAGTGCATGTTTGCAGTACATAATGATTACATTTATTGTGGGGAGTTGGTACATACACATCATACAGTTTGTCTTGTTATTTTCTGCTCCTTCCCTCCCTTACTCCTCCTTCCAACTCTTAGTTCCCATCTCATTTGCAAAAGCTTTATTTTCCCCCCTCAGTTTTTTTTTCCTTGTCTCTTTTCCCCTTTTTTTGTTTTCTTCTCTCTGCGTCCCTTGTTCCCTCATCAGTTTGAAAAAGTTCTCCCTATTTCCTATTTATCTTTTTCTGATTTGCTCTTTATTTTTTATATGTTTTAGTTCCCAAACTTTAGTTAGTATATGTTTTAGTTTCTCAAATAAGAGAAACCATTGTGAAGTATTTGTTCTTTTGCAGTAGGCTTATTTCATTTAGAGAAACGTCTACAATATCTATCCTTGTTGTAGTAAGTGTTGGTGCTTCATAAATAAAACCTGAATAAAATCTGTTGTGCAATAAACCACATTTTGTTTATTCATCCGTGGTTGGATACCCCCTTTTTTTTTTTTTTTTTTTTTGTGCTGGAGATCAAACTCACAACCCCATTTTTGCCAAGCAGGCACTTACACCACTGAGCTAAACCCCAGCCCCAGGATACCCTTCTTTCTTCCACATTAAAGGCATTATACTGATGCAAATATGGGTACAAAATGCTTTTGAGATTTTGCTTTCATTTCTTTTGAATATGTACCCAGATGTACAATTGCCAGATCTCTTTTTTAAAAAATTGGATTATATGGTAGTTCTGGGTTTACAGTTTTAAAGGAGCCACCAGATTGTCTTCCATGGTGGCTGCACCATTTTACATTCCCACCAACAGTATTCAGTGTTCCAGTTTTGTTGCTTCCTTGCCCACGCTTATCTTTTTTCTCTTGTAATGCCCATTCCAATGAAAGCAAGGTGGTCTTGAGGGTCTCATTCATGTGCGTGTCTATTGGCCATTTGTATGTCTATTTTTGATACAAATCTGTTTCAGTCCTTTGCTCTTGTTTTTTCCTTTTTTTTTTTTTTTTAAATCTGTACCAGGGGTTGAACTGTCGACCTTGTGCCTGCAAGGTAGGTGCTTATGTTGCTGAGCTAAATCTCCAGCCCTTTTTGCTCTTGTTTTAACTGGGGAGGTTTGGTTTTTGATTGAGTCATGGAAATTCTTTATATAGTTTGCCTGTTAGTCCCTCATTGGATACTGTGATTTGCAGGTAGCTTTTCCCGTTTTGGAAATTGATGTTTGTTTTTGGTATTAGGAATCAACTCAGAACCTTGAGTTAAATCCCTAGCCCTGATGTTTCTTTTAACATGCAGGAGTTTTTGATACTAGTTTCAAATAATTGTGGATTCCAGGACGTTGTAAAACTGGTATAGAGCAGTTCTATGAACCCCTCATCCAGTTTCCCCAGCAGTGGTATCTTGTATAATTGTAGCTCAATGCTGATCTAGGAGTTTGCCAGCCATATGCCACTGGGCTTACAGATCCGAGTAAGTCCTCCATCATAGGTGTGTCTCCCTGAAGATCACCCAGGTCCCATCTTTTCATAGTCAAGTCCATTCCTAAGCCCACTGCAGTCCATTCCTTGCTAAGGAAGGAAACACCTATGCTCCTCAGTCTGCTGAGAAAGTGGCAGCAGTAAGAGTGGGGCTGGCCTCCTGGATTGTCACGCTGTTGCAAATCCTGTCAGCTTTTGTTTGATGGTATATTTCTGGGTCTGCCCATGCTGGGAGACAGTGCTCTCACAGGTGGGGACTACTGCACACCTGGTGCCCTCCCAGGCCTGGGGCTTAGGACATATCTTCCTGAGAGTGAGTACTCTCACCTAACCCTGCCTGCCTAGCACCCACACCTCTTCTGGAAACTACTGAAACCTTCCAGAAAAGTGTCTTCTGAGTTGGTGCCCATGGTGCTTTGGGCTGGTGCTGACAGCCCCTGGTATGTCCAGCTAACAACAGTAGTGGGTGGATCCTGCAGCTAGCCTGCCTGTGTCTGTGCTGCCCAGTGGCCATGTATGCAGAAGCTGGGTTTCATAGATATTATTAGTTAAAATGAGATCATATCAATCAATGAAATTGAAAACCTATCAACAAAGAAAAGCCCCTGATGGATTCACTGTTAAACTGTACAAAAATTTAAAGACGATCTAACACCATTACTTTGCTCAAGCTCTTTAATGAAATTAAAAGGGAAGAATACTCCCAAATTCATTCCTGAAAGCAAGCATTACCTGGATAATAAAACCAGGAAAGACCCAACTAGGAAAGAGAATTGCAGACCAATTTCTGTGATGAACATAGATGCAGAAATCCTCAATAAGATACTGGCAAATAAAATACAGCAAGTCATCAAGATTATGCACCATGATGAAGTGGGATTCATCCCAGGGATGCAGGGATGATTCAACATAAGTAAATCAATAAATGTAATATACCATATTAACAGAGCCAAGGTCAAAAATCATATGATCATCTCAAGAGATGCAGAAAAAGCTTTTAACAAAGTCCAGTACCCATTCATGATTTTAAAAAAACCCTACAGGAAATGGGAGTAAATGGTCTTTATCTCAATCTGATAAAAGACATCTATGACAAACCAACAGCCACCATCATACTAAATGGACAAAAACTGAAAGCTTTCACTCTAAAATCAAAAACAAGACAAGGATATGTACTATCACCACTCCTATTCAATATAGTTCTGGAAACTTTAGCCAGATCAGTTAGATAAGAGAAATAAAAAGAATAAAGGTAGGGAAAGAAGAAGTTAAACTCGTTATTTTCAGATGACATGGTACTGTACATAGAAGATCCCCAAAATACCACTAAAAACTTGGTAGATTTAATAAGCAAATTTAGTAACATAATGGGATACAAAGTCAACACTCAAAAATCAGTAGCCTTCCTGTACACAAATAAACTCACTGAGAAAGAAATCAGGGAAACACCACCTTTCACAATAGTTAAAAATGAGATCAAACCAAGTGCAAGTGTGGTGGTCCCACCTGTAATCCTTCTACTTGAGAAGTAGAAGCAACAGGATATCTGCAAATTCAAGTCAGCCTGGGCTAATTGTGAGTTCAAGGCCAGCCTGAACTACCTGGTAAGAGACCTGTCTCAAAAGTAAATACATAAATGAAATCTTCCTGGATCAGAGAGGCTTCCTTACTACAGCTGGTGTCCTCCGAAGCTGAAAATTTGGATAGAATGATATACACAGGAGAGGCTCTGTGAGGAAAGAAGCAGAGACTTGAGTTATGTGGCCACAAACCAAAGACATCAGGACCCGGAAGAGGCAAGAGGACCCTTTCCCAGAACCATGAGAGGGAGTGTAGTTTTGTATAACTAGATTTTGAACATCTCTAACACTGAGAGGAGTACATCCTGTTGTTTTTAACACCTATCTTATAATTGGTTAGGGCAGCCGCAAGAGACTAGTGCACTCCAACAGAATTGGCCAGTGTCCCCAAGGCCCTCTGTACCCCACCTTGTCCCATGAGTCACTCCTCATAGTAAATGACTAAGTTAATTTGACAAAGCTTTGCACAAGTGGGGTCATACAGTGCACTCACACTGTCCTGTGAGTGGCTTCTGTGGCTCATGTGCCCCTGGAGTGTTGTGGGTAGCAGTAACTTGTGTGATCTTCCACCTTTTATGTGGCTACAGATAGGATAGAGGACCCCTGTTAGGTTTGTGTTGCAGAAAAACAAGTACTTTTTTTTTCTTTAAAGTGTGGGAAGGCCGGGATGTGTCCGGCCAGGTGACCCTCCTCCTCTGAGAAATAGTTTGCATCAGTTCTCTTGCCTCCTCTGGTTGCCTTCCACCTGAGACTTGGGACCGAGGCTACAGAACCAGCCCACAAGCTTATGTTCTGGTGAAGGTTGAAGCCTGTGCATTAGGCATACATATGAGTGTGAACCTGTATCCATATATGCGCAAGAAGAGGAAGGACAAACCACCTGAGCACCCTGCCCACTGTGCCCTGGCCCTATGTTACCCCATATAATAAATCCAGTCAGCACCTTGGATTTCATCTCTGACAGGGCAGTGAGAGGACGCCGGGTATGTAGCAGTTGACAGCCATGTGTACAAGCCTGTGGAGGCTGAGGAGACACCTGAAGTCTCTCAGTCTCTCTTCAGCTTACCTGCAGATGGAGAGTCCCTTGACCGTGGTCTCGAGGAGTTGGAAGCCACCTATCAATCTACAGTACCAGTCATTGTGCCTATGTGGGTCTTGGTGACCAGGGTTCAGAAGCCCCTGGAATATGGTAGGGGGAGTGTATCCCTTAGAGGGCAGTGGGCTGGAATGATCAAGGTCTCCAGCTCATTGATAATGTAGTTTAAGGGGCAAGCTCTCCAGAGAAGGCAGGAAATACCCCTCTCTCCCCTGGGGCTCGGACAGACCTCAGGTCCAGAAGTCTCCTCTCCTGCCACTCTCATTTCCTTACCTGTTGGCTATGTTGAGATTACCACCTGGAATGGGCAAAGGTTGAAAATGAATTGAGCTCTGTGCTGCCCACAGACCTTGGTCTTTTTTCTGTCCCCACTACAGCTTATTGGGCCCTGGTGTCTGCTGGATTTTGTGTTACCAAAAAGCATAAGGCTTCTGGATGAACCTTTGTGAGGGAGGGCTAGTCCTGGAAGCAGTAAAGATATCAGAGACTAGATGAAGGTATGTCAGTGGCCAGGATAGAGTGGAGGAGATAGCTGTGGTGTTGATCCACCAATTGCTAGGCATAGCCCCTGAGCACCCTCCATTTCTGGATGCTTTGTTTCCTTGATTGAGACTACTTACTTTCTAACACAGACCACAGGTTGCCTGTGGTGGGTGTCGCCCTCAGCTGAGAACAGACCCTTCTCTGCCCTGTCCTAACCACCATTTTGTAAAGACTCAGCAAGTAGTTATAGTTGAGTAGAACTAGTAAGATGATCTCTTTGTGTAGAGAACATTATGCACAGAAGTCCTCATCCCTTTGTACAGCCCCCTCCCTGCAGGTGTAGTCCAGCCAGGAGGGGCTTTTGAGTGGAGTAGGGGCTCACAAAGTCAGGAAGTGTCACAACAAAGGGTGCTAGCTGCTATGTACCCTGGGGCTGACTGTCCTGTTGGGAGTGTTGTGGGTAGCAGTAACTTGTGTGATCTTCCACCTTTTATGTGGCTACAGATAGGATAGAAGCCAGGGGAGGCACAGGAGAGCTGTGCTGGACATTATCTTGTAGAGAACCAGTGGTAGTTAAGGAAAGGGCAAGCTCAGTGACAGGCAATCATGGCTTGTTTGGCATGCTCCAGCCCTTCATCTTGCATGTCATGTTTGAATAGGTGAATAGAGAGCTGGGATGAGAAAGGCCTGCGCCTTGTCCATATGGGACTGATCAGTGATGACTGTGGAGGCCCAGGGTCAAACCTGGATTCTGGCGCCCAGGGAAGTCAGCACAGGATGGGGGGATGAGATTGGGCAGCACATCCCATTCCTACATCTACGTGCCATCGTGACCTTTCTTCTGCTTTTAGTTGCGTCATTCGGCATCTTTCCAAGTCGGTCAGATGAGTGGTATGGAGGTGGATGAGGAGCTCCTGGATCCGGTGAGTGGCAGTGTATTCCCTGCTGCTATCCCTGCTTCCGCAGAGCTGTGTCCTCACAGAAAGCAGATGGTGAATGCCTAGCCAGAAGACAGTGGGAATAGGAGGTGCTGTGCAGGTGCTTCAGGTAGTGTGGCCAGTAGATAGCAGGCTCTAAAGACTGAAGACACTGCTTTCAAGGGGACATGGCCCCTGAGGCTAGGTAGATGAGCTGTTGCCAGATGAGCAGAGATGAGTGAAAGCTCTGTTGGGAGGACAATCGTGCAACACAATAGTACCAGGCTGGACTAAGTATGATATGAGGGGAAGATGAGGGTAGAATCTCAGCGGTGAGAAATCCTCAGAGAGTATGAAGGGTGGCCATGTCTTCTGGCTCCAGGATGGATACTGGTTTCTTCCAAAAGATGACTTGTTTAGCTCTTGTGCTGAGTGGGCCTTCTTCTGACCAGCAGTTGCCATGGGAATGTTTTCTGAGCCCTTTCCTCAAACAGCATTTTATCCCTTCCTAGTGGGATCTGTCTGACTTGATTTGTTCCTGATAGCAGTGATGCTAAGGTCCTCCTGTGCTATTGCCATTGGTATATTGTTTTTGCAGAACCACGTGTTTAGGCCCTTGCATTCTCCTCCCCCTCCCCCTTCCTTTTGCATTGCAAGGGATTGAACCCAAGGCCTACCACGTACTAGGCAAATGTGCTACCACTGGGCTACATCTCTAGCCCGTTTTTATTTTTGTATTTTTAGGCAGACTCTCAGTAAGTTTCAGAGTTGGTAAGACTAGGTTGGATATTACAGTCCTTTTGCTTCACCACTCCCTGAATGCTGGGGTTACAGACATGTACCACAAGTACCACTAGGTTGTTTTTTAATAAGTGAGTTTCAGGAGTTCTTTATATATATTCTTCACGCAAGTACGTCGTCAGATACATGATTTGCAAAAACTTTCTCCCCTCAGTGGATTTTCTTTTTGTTTTTTGGTGATGTCCTCCTTTGATGCACAACTGTTGTTTTGTCTTATAAAATAGGGTCTTGCTCTCAGGCTGAATTTAAACTCACTAGGTAGCCCAGGCTGCGCCAAATTTGTGATCTTCCTATCTCAGTCTTCCAATTGCTGGAATTACAGGTGTGCACCACCATACCTGGCTAACATTTTTTGTTTTGATGAAGTACTATTTTCCTTTTGTTGTTGTTGCTTATACTTTTGATATCATAATTAAGCTATTGTCTAATCCAAGCTCATCATGACATCCATTTTTTCTAAGAGTATTAGATCTCTGATCCATTTCATATTAATTTTTTTCATATAGTATGAGGCAAGGGTCCAACTTCATTTTCTTTCTTGTGGTTGTCATTCTACTGACACCATTTGTTAGAAAGACTGTTTCCCTATTGAACTGTCTTGACTCCATTGTTCAAAATCAATTACCCATAATTTTTTGGAATTTATTTCTAAACTCAGTTCCATTCATCTAAAAGTTTCTCTTTGTGCCAGCACCTGACTCTCTTGGTTACTGTAGCTATGTAGTGAATTGTAAAACTGGGAAATGTGAATTTTCCAACTTTGTTGTTCTTTTTCAAGACTGACTCTGTCCATAAACTTTAGGATCAACTTGTTAGTTTCTTTGAAAAAAGCCAGTGGAGGCTGGGCGTGGTGGCTCGTGCCTATAATCCCAGTGCTCAGGAGGCTGAGGCAGGAGTATCATTGCAAATTTGAGACCAGTCAAGGCTACAAAATGAGCTCAAGGTCAGCCTGAACTGCATAGAGAGACCCTGTCTCAAAAAGACAAAGAAAAAAAAAAGAAAAAAGCCAGTGGAAATTTAGATAGAGATTGAAATTAGATGAAAAATCTGAACAGTAGTAATTTTTTTGATCTTTGGACACAGGATCTCTTTCCATTTATTTAAGTCTTCAATTACTTTCAACAGTGTTAAGTAGTTTTCATTGTATAAAAATTAGACTTTTTTATTAAATTTATTTTAGAAGTAAATTTTAGGGATTGAACCCAGAGCCTTTGCCCTGAGGTATATCCCAGCCCTTTTTAACTTTTTTTTTAATATATTTTTTTATTTTGAGACAAGGTCTAAGTTACTAAGTCCCAGGCTAGATTCAAATCTGTTAATGAACCTGTCTCAACCTCCCAGAGTGCTGAGATTTAATTTTGCTGTCTTTCTTTTAAAAAAAAAATTTTTTTTTTGAGACAAGGCCCAGTAGCTGTAATGAGAGACCACTGCGCCCTGCTCATGCTTTATTTTTTCATTACTACAGATTTTTTTCTTATTTTCATTTTCAGTTTGTTTGCTGAAAGTATATAGAAGTACAGTTGATTTTTGTGTCCTACAGTCTTCCTAAGTATGTTTATTCTAGTAGTTTTTTTGGTATGTTTGTTAAAATTTTCTGTACACAAGATCATGACATCTAGCCAGGGCACACAGTAGCATAAGTGCCTGCCTGGCAAGCGCAAGGTCATGAGTTTGATCACTGGTGCCAAAAAAAAAGATCATGATATCTCCATGTAGAGACAGTCTCACTTCCTCCTTTCCATTCTGAATGCTTTTTATTCTTTTTTTTATTGCGTATTGGTACAGTTTAAATGTACATAAGTATATTCATCTAAGGAATTTGGACCTGTGTATATATTGATGTCTCTTTTTTCCCAATCTCCTCCCCTTTACCTTTTCCCCTCCTCATTAGCAAAGCTTTGATTCTATTTTACCTTTCTTTTTTTTGGGGGGGGGGATAATGTGTGTCATTTGAGATAGGGTCTCTCCAATATATAGTTTAGGCTAGCCTTGGGTGCACTTTGTAGCCCAGGCTGGTCTCAGACTTCCAGTGATCCTCCTGCCTCTGTCTCCTCGAGTGCTAGGATTATAGGCATGTGCTGCCATGCCAAGCTATCATTTTTTTTTCTTTTCCCTCTTTTTCTCTCCCCTCCCCCTCCCAGTTCCTTTTTTCTTTTGAACAAATTTTTCCTGTTTCACAATTACTGTTATAATTTTGGTCCTTATTTATTCTTTACTTTCTCACACCAGGGAGACAATACAATATTTACATGTGTGTTCAATTTATTTCACTTACGAGTGTGGTTTCAAGATGCAACCATTTACCTAGATATGTCTCAAGCTTATCCTTCTTTATGGCTAAGTAGTACTTTAAAAAACTGTGTTTTATCCATTCCTTGATTGAGGTGCATTTGAATTGTTTCCAAGATTTAGATACTAAAACTATGTTGCTCTAAACACAGATGCCTATATATATCTTTGGTATGATTCTGTGGGTCAAATAGAACCTCTAGTCCTAGTTTTTTGAGGACTCTCCACCCTGATTTCTACAGTGGTAGCACTGGTCTACACACCAACAGTGAAAAATGGTTCCTTTTTCCCCACAGACCCTCTAGCATTTGTTATTGGTTGATTTCTTGATGATAGACACTCTTTCTGGAGTGAGATGGAGTCTCTGTTATTTAAATTTGCATCTCTTGAACGACAAACATTTTTTCATATATTTATTTGCCATTTATATTTCTTCATCTAAGAAGTATGTATTCATCTCAGATGTGCATTTTTGGATTGTGTTTTTAAACTTGGCAGGTCTTGAGCCGGGCATGGTGGCTCACGCCTGTAATCCCAGCATGGAAGGCTGAGGCAGGAGGATCTTTGCAAGTTCGAGACCAGCCTACCCTACAAAGTGGGCCCAAGTCCTGCCTGAACTGCATAGTGAGACTCTGTCTCAAAAAGACCAAAAAAAAAAAAAAAAACTTGGCAGGTCTGATTTTTCAGTTCTTTATATGTTCTAGATATTAGTCTTTTGTCTGAGAAACAACTGGCAAAATTTTTTCCCTACCCTGTGGTTTGTCTTTTCACTCTGTTGGTGATTTATTTTGCTGTTCAAAGCTTTTTAATAGGATGAAATCCCAGTTGTTGATTACTTGTAGTAGTTCCTCTGTGATCAGGGTTTTGTTCGTGAAATCTTTGCCTATACCTGTGTCTTCAAGAGTTTTGCAGCCAGAGATATAGCTTAGCAGCACTCAGGGTCAGGTGTGGTAGGCCAGTGTTTTACCACTGAGCTATATCCCCAGCCCTTTTTACTTTTTATTCTGAGACAGGGTCTTTTAAGTTGCCCAGACTGGGCTCAAACTTGCCATCCTCTTGCTTCAGCCTCTTGACTAGCTAAGGATTATAGACATCTGCCAATGTGCCCAGAGAGGCAAACTCTTTTCTGTTTTATTTTGTTGAGTGTTTTTATTGTAAAGAGATGTTGAATTTTGTTACATCTTGATGTGTATCTGCCTGGACAATCCTGTGCATTTTGTCCTTTGTTCTGTTGATGCTATATGTTACATCAGTTGAGTCTAGAGTATAAACTAACCTTGTACTCCTAGAGTCTCCCTTGGTTCTGGTGTTGCTGGATCCTCTCTGCTCACCTCCTTTTGAGGACTTTTTTGTCTCTAATCATGTGAGGCATTAGTCTACTCTGTGTGTGTGTGTGTGTGTGTGTGTGACAGACAGACAGACAGACTTTGGTATCGGGATAATGTTGGCATCCAGGATGATGGGTTGGCAAGAGGTCCTTATTCTCTTCCCTCATGTGTAAAGTGTGGGACTCTGGCCTTTTCTTCCACAGGAAATGGACCCTTCCCATCCCTTTCCCAAGGAGATCCCTCATAACGAGAAGCTCCTGTCTCTAAAGTATGAGGTAGGCCCTCATTTTCCTGCCCCTGCCTTTTCCAGCCTCCCTCCACCTGTCCTCAGCCAGTAATTGTGGTCCTGTTTTTCTGGTCCACAGAGCTTAGACTATGACAACAGTGAGAACCAACTGTTTTTAGAGGAAGAAAGGCGGATCAACCACATGGTGAGTGAGATGGGTCTGGGCTTTTGTCCTGCTGTCTCCATCTGCCTCCCTACCTGTCCCCAAACCTCCGGCTACTAGAGGTACTTTTGGTTCCTTAGATTGTCTTTGGGACCTTAAGCATGTAACAGTTGAATCCAGATACTAGAAACATTGGGAGAATCTTTCATGGACATTGTAGTTAAAGGCTATTCTTATAGATGTCAGGCATAGTACCCAAAATACCAACAGCTGATTATGAATTTGGGAAGGTCACTTGTCTTCCTCTGAATTGCCCGCTTAAACCCCAAGGTGCTTCTTAGCCCTTTAGACATTAGTTGAGGGCTAAGCTGTTGGCCATTGGCAGCAATTGGCAGGACTCAGGTCCTCATTGGAAAGTACTGTAAGGTAGCAGCCTTGGGAATCCAAGGAGCCACTCTTGGTGGTCCCAGGGTGGGTAATTGTGTATTTTCTAATTATATCTCTTCCTATAGGCCTTCCGAACAGTGGAGATTAAACGCTGGGTCATATGTGCCCTCATCGGGATCCTCACAGGCCTTGTGGCCTGCTTCATTGACATCGTGGTAGAGAACTTGGCCGGCCTGAAGTACAGGCTCATCAAGGACAGTATCCTTTATAGCTGCCCAGCCTGGTGGGTGGGAAATGGGGACCTGCAGGAGAGCCCAAGTGCCTGCCCTTGTGGGTAGGCCTAGTTCTGCTGGGACACATCCTGCTCACTGAGCTTGGTGAAACAGTAACCCAGGGGAGGGCTGTATCCCTGTCTTAAGTGATTGAGATGTCTCTGAGCTATTGAGTAGTGCTATGCTATGCTGGGCAACTGGGTCAATACTAGTCTGTGCTGGCTCAGCCACTGCAGAGGGGAAGTAGGCTGATATGGGCTTGGGCATAGGCCTGAGCCTGAGTGGTGCCACTGCCTGTCCTTGACAAGCCTGCAGATATCGACAAGTTTACAGAGAAGGGTGGACTGTCTTTCTCCCTCCTTCTATGGGCCACACTGAACTCTGCATTTGTGCTCGTCGGCTCCGTGATTGTGGCCTTTATAGAGGTAAAGCAGCTATGGCAGAGGCCAGTGTTTTAAGCTCAGGGTGGTCATGGGATCTCAGCAAAAATAGATGGAGAGCCCTCTAGCTCATCCCTCACAAGTGTCCTGGGCTGCTGGGTGAAAATCACATTGTAGTTTTGTGTTGAATTGTGTGGCACAGACAAGAAACTTCAGTAAAAGCTAAAAAGGTAGGGTTGCCTCTCTGTAAACCCTAGATGGTGTCACTCCCCCACCAGCTACACAGGCCTGTGCCCACCCCTACCTTTCTCCCGCTGCCACACAGGTACACTGTGCCTGTGCTGTGCTTACATGTAGCAGAATGTACCCTAGACATTGATACTGCTTACCAGGCCCCAGGAGTGAGGTTGACTCACCCAAGCCAGAGAATCAGGACCACCCCTCCCCGGTGGAACCTTGTATCCCCACTTGAGGGGGGGTGGACCCTGTGGGGCACTTTGCATCCCGTGGCTTTTCCCTGGGGTCTCTCTTTCCATAGGCCCCTCTTTGCTCCTTGTCCTTGTCATGGGAAGATAGAATAAGGAAGAGGCAGCATCAAGAACCTTCTGTTGGGTGCAGAGCAGGGCCCCATGGCACAGGAAGTTTTTGTTCCTTTTGCTGGTATATAATGAGTGGCACGTCCATCCTGGAATGTCCCCCTGTTGCCTGGGAGACACGTGTTTTTACCTGTAGCCTTGACCACATCCTACACAATTAACTCTCAGAGATTCTGTATCTGTATTAACTCTCAGAGGTTCTGTGGAAGACATGAGAATATCTGCCAGCCACCAAGCCCTCATCCCCAGGCCAGGCTCTCCAGGTCTTTCTGGGACTGTGGCTGTGGGAGGAAGGGAGAGTTCTGCCTGCTTAGTGGTGTTTCCCTATTCTTCCAGCCAGTTGCTGCTGGCAGTGGGATCCCCCAGATCAAGTGCTTCCTCAACGGGGTGAAGATCCCCCATGTGGTACGGCTCAAGGTGAGATATAAAACAACTCCAAGTCAGACACAAGGTGCTCTGCTGAGTGTTTGCTGTTTCTGGGGCACATCTTCTGCCCATTGGCTCTTCCATTTCTGTCCTCGGTCCTTTGTGTGCTGGCAGGGTTGTACACAGATGACTGACAGATTTATATAGTAATAAATTGTTTTTGTTTTTTGTTTGTTTTCTTTGCCTTGAGCCCAGGGTCTTTGCATTGAATTAGCTTCCTAGCCCTTTTTTATTTTGAGACAAAATCTCACTCAATTATAGGCATGTATCATCATGCCATGCTTTCCCCTATTTTCAAATTTTTCTTTAATACTCATTATACTTAAGGTCATTGGCAGCATCCAGATTTCATGAGGACTGGGCAGTTATGACATACTCTGCTCACAGCCATTTCTGTCATCTGAACCAGAATGGCAGAAACTGCTTCCTCTCTCTATCGCAGGAGGATGGGTAGGCCTAAGCCTCCTGAATGCTCCCAGGCTTGGTGTTCTGCTATATCCCCTGGGCGCTTCTGTATCCAGTGCTCTGTAGCCAAGGAGGGATCATACTATGGGCAGCTGGAGAACTTTGTGTTTGCTTGCCTCCCTCACCTCCCTGGTCTTAGGGAAGGAAGCAGTAAAGGGGATTGAACGTAGGGCCTTTGCACTGAACTATATTTCTAGCTCTTTTTCATTTATTTTGAAATAGAGTCTCATTAAGTTGAGGTTAGGCGCAAACTTTCCAGTCTTCCTCCCTTAGCTTCCCAGAGTGCTAGGATTATAAGTATGTACCACCACATGCAGCAGAGCCTATGCTTGGCTCTACTTTTGAATAGGGTTGACCTAGTGCTGCTGGGAATAACATGATCTGTTACCTACATATCATATAGGCAAGCTAGCACATTCTACAAAATTTTGCTAAATACTTTTTACTGACTGCTTGACTGGCTGGGTTTGGGAGGCTTCCCTCAGTGTCTTAATTGAACATGAAGCTCTGTTCCCCAATACCACCCTCAATTGTTCAGGGCCTGTGCACTCCATGGGAGGGCAGGTGGATGTGTGAATGGCATGGGTGTCACCCTTGCTAGGCCCAGTGACAGAGTCAGCCTTCTGCCCATAAGTGCCATGAACCCCCAGCAAGTGAGGGAAATTGAAGCCACCAGCCCTCATCTTTTTGGTCACTGGCCTTGTGCAGGGGTGCTGATGCTGAACACATGCTCAGGTGGGGTCACACAGAGAGGATGCAGCAGGGTAGGATACCAGTGGATGTGTAGGTCAAGGCCCCAGGTGGCAGCACACCTTTTGCTGAGAGAGTAGAGGGCATGCACTGGTCTCAGCTGGGGAAAAAGGCAGAAACACAGGCTGTGGCACAGGGTGCAGCTCATCATTGGTATGATGAAGGAAAGACCTAACAGTCACCAGCAGAATGTCCAGGGCCTACCAGGACATGTCCTGAGTGTGTGTTGGGGCTGTGGCTGCTATCCTGATATTAGGGTATGGAAGAAAGCCAGCTGGAAGCCTCTGCCAAGGATTTGCTGTGGCATGGGCCTTCGAGCTTTGTGGTTCTTGTGTCCTTGCATCATGCCACTGAACAAAACTTTGTCATTTGAATGCATGGAGAACATGTGGTCTTTACTCACCTTTTCCATTGTTTTCCAGACGCTAGTGATCAAAGTGTCTGGCGTGATTCTGTCTGTGGTAGGAGGACTGGCAGTTGGAAAGGTAACAGAGTGCCTGTGATGCTGTCCCAGCCTGAGTCCCCATCCCTGGTCTCTGAGTGCTGGTTACTCTGTACTTTCAGGAAGGGCCAATGATCCACTCCGGATCAGTGATTGCTGCTGGGATCTCCCAGGGAAGATCGACATCACTGAAGCGAGATTTCAAGGTGAGCCTTCCCCAGGAGGTAGACTAATCAGTCTACCTGAGCATCCCCTAGAGCTGGGTTCCTAACCTGGGCACAGCTCTTGCCAGGACCTGTTGTGCTGTCTCTCCAGGTGTAGCCAGGGTGAGCCCATCACCTACCCAGTGGGAACCTAGCCAGCCCCCTGACCCATGGCCATGGGTCCTTTACTTCAGTACCACATGGCCTTTCCATGGCTTGTCCTTGATTCTGGTTTCATATGTGTTAAACATTTCTGTCAAAGGGTCTATGCCTCTGACCAACTTGTCATTCATCTGAAGAAGGTTGGAATTATAGGTGCCACTATACACCTACTGATTTTCTGGGTATGCTTGAAACAGTTTTGTTTCCCCACGAAGTCACCAGCATTTTGATGAATTTCTATTTGAATTTGGAGAAAATTACCATTTCTACAGTACACAGTACTTTTTCAAAATCAAAAGTAAGTGTAGAGAGCCAGGTATAGTGGCGCACCTCTGTTAATCCCAGCCCTTTGGAGGCTGAGGCCAGATTGCCATGAGTTCAGGGCCAACCTGTGCTACATAGTGAGTTCAAAGCCAGTCTAAGCTACATACCAAGACCCTATCTCAAAAAAAAACAGTATAGATTTTTCAGTTACTTAGTTTTTCTTCAGATCTCTGTGACCTGTGAAGTTGAGCTACTCTGGTGAATGGAATCTTCTGGTTATTTTCTTGGTTGTGGGCACATATGTATTCTCAGCCTGTGACCTACTGTAGCCACCTGTAGCATCATCTTCATGGGACCTGGACTGGGCAAGTTCCAAACATCTGTAGCCAGTGACATGATAATCATGGAGAAGACCACTTCCTTGCCCTCCTATTTTAGTATGTGTGCTGCCAAAGGGAGCACATCCTTAGCCTTCCTGTCCTTTTGCTAGCCTGTCCTTGACCTCTTTCCCTGTGAGGAGTGCCCCCAGAGAATCTGTCTCTTCTGTTTCAGATCTTTGAATACTTCCGCAGAGACACAGAGAAACGAGACTTTGTTTCAGCAGGAGCTGCAGCTGGAGTGTCTGCTGCATTTGGAGCCCCTGTGGGTGAGGAGGGGCCAACTCGCCTGGGCTGGGCTTTGCTTTTGGGAACTTCATGTCTGACAGGCTTAGTGTTCGCAGACTAAGTACTTGTCAGGGTGTGGGCCAGCAGGATTGGTCAGCATGCCCAAGCCTGGCCCTCACACTCCCAAGAGGTGGTCTCGTCTCAGGAATGTAGTGTGGGAGGGGACTGTGGATGCAGAGGCCCTGTGGCTGGTTGGCACTTTGGGCATCCTGATGTCTTCCAGGTGGAGTGCTTTTCAGCCTGGAAGAAGGTGCCTCTTTCTGGAACCAGTTTCTGACGTGGAGGATTGTAAGTGCCTGCTAACAGCCTCCAGCCAGAGCTTCTGCATGCCCAGTCCCGAGGTCAAGCAGCACTGGAGCCATCTTTTGGTCAGAGTGGATGCTTCAAACTCAGCCCACCTGTTCACATTGTAGAGCCATGTCTCTCATGGGTTCATTAGCTCTCCACTCAGTTCTGGGTGTCCTTAACAGCTTCTGGTGGCTTTTAGGGGCCCAAGGCCCACAACCTTCTCCTGTGTCCTCTATTGTCTTGTCCCAGTGTTTGCCTCTCTATAGGTCCATGACCCCACCTTTGCCCAGCCATGCAGGGAACCCAGCCTGCTTGGCTCCCCCCCTTCCTGTCTTGGGTAAGGTGTCCAGACTTCAGTGACAGGAGCCCCAGGCTTGGCTTTGGGTGGTTAGGATGCTGGGTGGCCTCACACATAACTTCTTTCTGAGGCTGTCTCTCTCTCTGCTGCAGTTCTTTGCTTCCATGATTTCTACCTTCACACTGAATTTTGTGCTGAGTATTTACCATGGAAATGTGTGGGACTTGTCCAGTCCAGGCCTTATCAACTTTGGAAGATTTGACTCTGAGGTAATCAGCTCTTCTATTCCACCTTTCCCCTTTTGGTCCCAGGATTGGATCCTTTTTTATTGAAGTCAGATTTTAGTTTGGTCTTGGGGAAATTCCAGCTCTTGGCTATGGAATTTAGCTTTTACTTACAAGCTACAGGGCTGAAGTACTTCAGGAATACAAAGGGGCCTGCCTTTTAGGGCCAGGGTGACCCAGAACTGGCCACTTACTGAGTGCTAGTTGGGCTGTATGAGCTGCTGGTGAATCCAGCCATGCTGAGAGTGGATTGAAGGCTACTTAAAGTGCCCATTTCTGCTATCCATGGGACTTCTACAGCTCTGGGTGAAAGTGCTAGAGGATTCCTTGTGGACAAGTCAGATCATGGAGAGCCATGCACAAAGTCCCTCACAGCCTTCACTTTTCCCCCCCTATACAGAAAATGGCCTACACCATCCATGAGATTCCTGTCTTCATCGCCATGGGTGTGGTGGGTAAGGGCCCTCCCTGCAGGATGGACCAGAGTGTAAACTTGGGTTGGGGAGGAGTTTTTCCACTGGCACAGCTCTAAGTGTACACAGGTGGGCTCCCAGGGGCTGGAGCAGAGCAGAGCTTCTACAGGGTAAGGGTCTTTGACCTGAAATACTCAGCAATAGAAGTTATTCAGTGTTTTGGATTTTTCTATATTTTGAAACAATTGCATATAAATAGTTAAATATTTTGGTGAAGGGATGTATATCTAATTACAAAATTCATATGTATCATTTACACCTGGGCTGAAGGTGGTTTTTTGAGGGGGGCTCTTGGTTTTGGGGGGGGGTTTTGTTTTGTTTTCTATTTTTTAAGACAAGGTCTCACTATGTAGCTTAGGCTGGCCTTGAACCTACCATGTAGCCTAGGCTGGCCTCTAACTTGATGGTGATCCTTTGACTCAGCCTCCTGAGTGCTGGAATTACAGGCATACCCATCATGTGTGGCTGGTTTGTTTTTGTTTTTGAGACAGGGTTTTGTGTCACTGTGTAGTGCAGGTTGATATCGAACTCAGTTTTGTAGCCCAGGCTGGCTTTGAACTCATGAGATCCCCTGCTTAAACTGTGAGTTACATAATCCCAAGAACTGGGATTATAGGTGTGTGAACCATACCCTTTTTGTTTTTGTTTTTGTTTTTGTTTTTATTTTATGAGTCAGGGTCTTCCTATGTATTTCAGGGCTGGCTTTGAACTCACTATATAGCTCAGGCTGGCCTTGAACTGGCAGCGATTCTTCTGCCTCAGCCTGCTCAGTGCTGAGATTGCAGGTGTGCCATTACCTCTAGCAGAGGCAGCATCTTTTTAAATTACCCAGACTATGTTTAAACTTATGATCCTCCTGCTTCAGCCTCTTAAGAGTGCTAAAATTATGGCTGTGTGCCACCACATCTAGCCATAACTTTGTATATTTTTAGTGTACCTGCATTTTGACTGTGACCAATCACATGAGATCAGGTATAGAATTTTCCATTTGTGAGTTAAATCAGTTTTCAGAGGTTTTGGGTTTTCTGGTTAGGAATGCACAGCCTGTGTTACTCTGTAAAAACTTTTTTCCCTAAAAGGAAGGCTGCAGCAGTAGAGTGAGAGAGGCAGAAGTGTCTCAGCAGGGCCCTCCATTGGGACTTCCTGCTTCTAGAGAGCCAGCAGAGTTGGGGTTTCTACCTACCCCTTGTAACTGAGATTGCTTTGTGGTCATAGGTGGCATTCTTGGAGCCGTATTTAATGCCTTGAATTACTGGCTGACAATGTTTCGAATCAGGTAAGTAAGGGCCTCTGTTTAGTGTTTCATGTTAATCCCACAAGCCCTCTGAAATGAATGCTGTGCGGTGGGCTCCACACTGTGGCCAGACTAGGAGGCTTTGCATTGACTGTTCTTGCTTGATGGTTCATACCTGACTGAGGTACCCCAAGCAGATGAGGCAGGACCTGTGGTACCTAGGGTAGGGGACAAGCAATTCCTAGGCTGGAGGACACTTCAGAAAGAGAGTGTGAGAACTTCATACCTAAAGGACACTGCCCTAGGCAGGAGAGCAAAGGGGTTGGTGTGTTCAGGTTTGGCCTGGCTTAGATATCACCTAGCCTCTGCTGGGGCCTGCCGAGGAACACCACTGTCTGCCTGTCCCTTTGTTAGACCTACCGTCTGAACTATGCTGGAACTGGGAGAGGATCCTGGGATGCAGAACTTCCTGATCTTGCACTATTGTGTGGGTTAGTGCAAGGTGGGTAGGAAGCAGCGGAAATCTTGTCCAGTAGCAGAATAGTCAGGGAGACAATTGCTACTGGGAAATCTTTTTCACCCAGGGAAGATAACCCTAGCATATTCTGCAGTCTGAGCAGTTTAATCATTAAACATGCTGTGTCATTCCATCAAGTAGCCTATGATTCAGGTTGCCATGCAACTACCTCAGGAAGAGGGGTCTGCCTTTTCATTCCTATAACAAAGTCTCTCCTGGTTTTGGCTCTAGATATATCCACCGGCCCTGCCTGCAAGTGATCGAGGCCATACTGGTGGCCGCGGTCACAGCCACTGTTGCCTTCGTGTTGATTTACTCCTCCCGAGACTGTCAGCCTCTGCAGGGGAACTCCATGTCCTACCCCCTTCAGGTAGGCTTGGGGCTCAGCAGAGCAGGGACTACCATCTTCCTAGAAGGATGCTCATGGGTACGGACTTGGGCTCACACAAAACCTTACTTGATATTTGTGGCAGCTCATTCATAGTCATTCAAACTGGGAACTGCCCTTGGGTCCACTTGTATAGAGGATGGCATTCAGCCATAGTAAGGACACAGTGACCTTACCATATCATGAATGGGTATTAGAAGCATGATACTCAGTGAGAAAAGCTAGTCACAAAGGATGGCATTGTCCATAATTCCAATGATGGGTTGTTCAGAGTAGGCCTCTATGGAGACAGAAAGCAGGGAGTGGTGACCAGGACCCAGAGTGCAAAGTAGGGAGCAAGGACTGGTAGGAACAGATATGAACAGATTGTTAGAGCTCATCAGCACCCAGGATTGGCTGGTGCTGTGATTGATGAGGCCAGCTTTACAGTGAACCAGCACTCTGGAAACCCCAGAACTGCCGGTGTCTGGGATGGCGGGGCCTGCTGGCCCACAGGGGCTGGCATCTGATACTGGCTCTAGGGGTTTGCTCATTTCTTGCAGACAGTGGGGACAGATCATTTGTCCAGCCAAGCATCCTATTAACCAGCCCCAGTAGGGATGGGCATACCTCTGCAGCCTTGTCTGGACTTGGACCCAGACTTTGTCTTTTCCCTGCTCTAAGTCCTGGCATGTACTATGCTGGTCCAGATGATAGGACTTAGCTCTCCCTGATGGCAACACAAGGTCTATGTCTATAACCCATGGGACTGTGTCTTCCCTCCCAACCTTGCAGCTCTTCTGTGCAGATGGCGAGTACAACTCTATGGCTGCAGCCTTTTTCAACACCCCAGAGAAGAGTGTGGTGAGACTCTTCCATGACCCCCCAGGTGTGTACCGGGGAGCACTACTGGCCCATGTGGTGATGCTGGGGCAGGTTCTTGGTCCAGAGGTTGCTGTCTCAGGCTGGAAGGGCATCTTTGGCATCAAGGGGTATGTTAGAACACAGAGGCTGGCAGCCTTGGTGTCAGCTGGAGGGGTATAGCAGGAATGCTGTGGTCCTACATACAAATGGTGACGTAGAGTAGAGCTGTCCAGTTCCCTATAGCACTACCACCTCCGTCCTTTCTGGGGCTGCCTCCATCTTGTCTCCCAACAGAGGCTGTACTGTCAGAAAACATAGCCTGCTAATGCAGTGCCACAGCTTTTTCTAGCCATTGCTCTGGTATGAAAACAGTATGTGCCTGGCTATAAAGCCTCCTCTTCTCATGCCATGTAGTCATACTGACCTTGAAGCTTCTGTCCCCTGGGGACTTTCTTTTCTCTTTCTTTTCTTCCTTTCTCTCCCTCCATCCTGTCTTGTCTTTTTTCCTACCCCTTCCCCTTCTCCGCTTCTTCTCCTCATCCTTGTCCTCTTTCTTCTTCTTTTTCTTCTTCTTGTCTTCTGACAGGGTGTCACTATGTAGTTCTGGCTAGCCTTAAATTCACTGTGTAGCCTAAGCTGACTTTGAACTCACAGTGATCATCTTGCCTCAGCCTCCTGAGTGCTAGGATTACAGCTATGTACCACTGTGCCCCATCCTGTACTCGTTATATTTTATTTTGAGACAGCTTCTAAGTTGCCCAAGCTCAGCTCAAACTTATAACCTCCTGCCTTGGCTTCCCAGTGTAATGGCCATCAAACCCACCTTGACCCTTGTTTTCGTTTCCTGTCATGAGATTGCTGAGGACTTCCCTGTCTTTAGTTCTGTGTGTGTAAAACAGGTTGGTTCATGAGATTTAAAAGAAATCTTTAAGGATGAGATAAGATGGCATAGATGTTAGTCACTGTTTGAAGTGACTAACACCTGGCAGGCCCCACGTAGCCTGCATGTGTATGCAGCTCCTGCCTCAGGACATGCCTCCTGGCTGTCGTCACTTAGCATGCAGTGAGTGAGTGGCCTTCCACATGTGACCTCTCTTCTTCCTGACCTTGAGATCTATGCCACATTGCTCTTAGCACAAAACCAATACCCATCCAGGCCTTCACACTCTGGCCACCATGGACCTTTTCTCTCCACATGGTCTCATTTCCCTGGTTTTTTGCTGGAGATCCCATAGTGGCCAAGAATAGGTCTCCTGGGCGCTGCACCTTACCTAGATGTGTCCTCTTCATATTGTGTGACCTCAACCCAGCAGAAAAAGTCTCAGCTGCCCACTGCCACCAGAGGGCATTTTCCATGGGCTACTAACCACCTTGGACCATAGGAACCAACCTGGGAAGCTCCAGTTTGAGGAAAGGCCTGTCCCTGTTCAGTTGGTTGACCTAAAGTTAGGCTATCAAGTCCTACAGAGCCAAGAGCCTGGCTACTGTCTTTAAGAGTATGCATCGCAATTCCCAGGTGGTATTCCAGGCAAGGCTCTAAGGTGGCAGTGCCTGTATTGGTCAGCTTTCCCATTAGGGGAATGAAATGCCTTGCATACACAATTTAAAGGAGGAAAGGATTCATTTGGTTGATGTTTTCAGCTCATGGTTACCTGGTTCCATTTCTGAGAATCAGGAATGATGGGAAACATTGTGGCAGAAGGGTGTGGGGAAGTGAAGCTGCTTAATCCGTGGTGGTAGGAAGCAGAGGAGAGAAAGTATAAGAGAGATGCCCTCCAAAGGCACACCCCAGTGACCCACCTCCTCCAACTGGCCCCATTTCCGAGTAGCACAGTTGGGTGTGACTCTCAGTGGATTAGTGATCCAGTCATCTCTTCAGGAGTTTCAATCCAGTCAAACGGACAATTGAGATGAACTTACACAGAGACCGTCTAGTGAGTCTAGATGTGTCAGTTGCCTTGGACCTGGACCACTCGACACCGACCCAGAACATCTGCACTGCCACACAAGATTGCCCTCTCCACAACTGCCCTTTCCTTTCACTGAGTGGCTGAGGTGATGGGGCCACTGTGCAATCAGGGCTTAGGTAACCTGGCTCCCAGGATGTGATCTGGGCCAGATGAGACAGCCCTGCATGGATGTGAGTCCAGGCCTGCTTTTTCCTAGGCTCCTACAACCCCATGACCCTGGGCCTATTCACCCTGGTCTACTTCTTCCTGGCCTGTTGGACCTATGGGCTCACTGTGTCTGCTGGTGTCTTCATCCCATCTCTACTCATTGGGGCCGCCTGGGGCCGGCTTTTTGGCATCTCCCTGTCCTACCTCACAGGAGCGGCAGTAAGTGGGGAGATGGTGGGAGGGGGCTGGAGCCCCATGGTCTGTTGATCTCTTATGATCTTCCATCCAGTGGTCATGCTCATGAGACAGGGTGTCAAAAATGTGGAGATGATGGTGTTTGTTTTTAGTAAGAGAATATAGTAAAAAAACAAAACAATGTGAGGAAGCACTAGGGGCCATTTAGAGTGTCCAGCGCCAGTTGTCCAGGGGCCTGTGTCCTGGCATGGGCTGCCCACAACACCAGGCCTACCCAGGTGGGCAGCCTCCCTGTCTTTCCTTTCTCTTTGAGGATTTGTTTTTATCTTGTCTATTTTCCTTTCTTTTTACTTCTGTCTTCAAACAGGACTGGAAAATTTGGGCAGAGGGCCTGGGGATGTAACTCAGTGGAAAAGCACTCAGCTAGTATGCCTGAGGCCCAAGGTTCAATTCCTAACATGACCAGGAAAAGACACATAGCAGGAAGCACACACACACACACCCCACATGGGCATGTGTGCCATGTTTCCTTCCAGAAACAGTTTTAGTCCAGAAAGGACCCATGTACACATCAATGGTGTCCTAGTTGCCCTCCTCTCCATTTTGCCCTGCCCTTTGCTGGCCCACAGGCCCTCTGTTTTCCGTAGCAGGGTGTCTACAAGGCTTATTTCTGTCCTGGCATGTGTAAGAAACTTCACAGTCAAAAGTCTGGCTATGTCCATACAGATAGTGGTTCTATGTGTACACTTGGGCCCAGCTTTCCTCACAGCGTGCAGCACCTGTCACTGTACCTCCTTGATACAGAGAGTATAGCCTTGTGTGGTGAGTTCCGTGATGTACACAGTGGGCCATGGTTCATTTACTCTCTCCAAGGGAGATACACCTGCACTGTTTCCATATTTTGATTGTAGCACATAGTGAAGTGTAGAAGTTTTTGCATATGTATACATAAGTCAGAGAATTCAAGCCTGTGTGGGATTGGTTGGCCTGGGCCTGACCATTCTGCCTGATATATCTTGGTGGGTTTGACTGGGGCCTGCATCTTACTGATGTCTCCCCACATTGTTCCTGCAGATCTGGGCAGACCCTGGCAAGTATGCCCTGATGGGAGCTGCTGCCCAGCTTGGTGAGTGCTCGCTCTGGACTCTAGTGAGTGGACTTTGCAAGTCTCATCATCCCTCTAGTGGGTGCAGCCAAGGCTGGCCTTGCATGGGGGAGTGAGCTCTCCATTTAAATGGACAAGATGGAACCAAGCATAGTGGTACATTCCTCTAATGACAGTCATCTGGGAGGCCAAGGCAGGAAGGGTCCAAGTTTGAGCCCATCATGGGAACTTAACATCTGTCTCAAAATTTTAAAAAAAGCAAGCTAGGAACATGGCTCAATACTAAGTCCCTGGGATCAATTCCCAGTGCTGGGAAGGAAACAAAGGCAACACAGACAGTGGGCTTGAGATAGGTATGGTCCACACTCCTGATGGCCTGGCCATATGACAGCAGTCGGGTTCTGCAATCACTGTCCCCACAGCTGGGACTTGAGGGAGTAAGTGGGCAGCCATGGCACTGCACAGAAAATGTGGACACACTATTTGGAAGAGATGGGGTTCACAACCACTCCCACAGGTGGCATTGTGAGGATGACCCTGAGCCTGACAGTCATCATGATGGAGGCCACAAGCAACGTGACCTACGGCTTCCCCATCATGCTGGTGCTGATGACTGCCAAGATTGTGGGCGATGTCTTCATTGAGGTGCATAGAGTGGAAGGCCTACTTACCCTTCCCACCCCACGCCCTGGCCTTCCTTGATCCTAACACTGGTTTGTGGGGCCCGCAGCACCTGCAGAGGGGTGGGAGTCCCTGCAGAGCCAGCCCTAAAGGTTTCCCTGGGTGGGGCAGGCACAGTGCATCTTGGGCCATCCTTGGCACTGTGCCTCATGGTACCTTCTCCCAGGGTCTGTACGACATGCACATCCAACTGCAGAGTGTGCCCTTCCTGCACTGGGAGGCGCCAGTCACTTCACACTCGCTCACTGCCAGGTATGGCCACTCTGCCCCATGACCACTGGGTGGGAGGTGAGGGGTGGACCACAGGGAAAGGGTTAACTGCCAGGCCTTCAGGCCCCCATGGTCAGTTCAGAGCTGGCTTCTGGTATTAGAGAGTCCTCAGTTCCCAGTTTTCTAGTGCTGCAGCTTTGTACCTGTTGAATGTGATCCTGGTACAAAAACGGGATATTGAGGAAGAACCTTGCTGTGTCTGGTGAGCAACTGCCTGGTTGGTGACTATGTACTGGTTTCTCATCAGGGAGGTGATGAGCACACCAGTGACGTGCCTAAGGAGAAGAGAGAAGGTGGGTGTCATTGTGGATGTCCTCAGCAACACAGCATCCAATCACAATGGCTTCCCTGTGGTGGAAGATTCAGACAACACCCAGGTACCAGCAGCCCTCCCTCCCTGCAGACTTGAGGTCCCTTCCTCTGTGGTCTGTGATTGGAAGCATGTTGTGCAGTTGTGTGAATGTGGCAGCCCCATGTTTAGGTGCAGAGTGAAATCCCACTGGAGAAACAGCTGTACCCACAGCTATGCACCCAGGCTGGCCATGGGAGTGCTCCCACAAACTACACACACCCTGTACTTCCAAACAAACTAGGCAGGTCAGCTGTCTCCATTGTAGCTATGAGCTCTGTCAGCAGATGCTAGCAGAATGTGAGCCCAGCTTACTCCTGTGTCCCCTTGCCCAGGTCCTATCTTGCTTGGACTATTAAGGCATTATCACAGGTGATTTGGACTTAATTTGGGGACTGCACCCAGGGCTGTATCTCACCAACAGATGCCCCATCCTGGCACCGCACTGCCCCAGCTCAGGTCCTCCAGGAATTAATGGGATTGTGCACTTCAGGTGTCTACAGCCAGGTCGGCGCTCCAAGGTGGCTGTCAGTGGCCATGGCTGGGGCTGCTCCCTGAAGGCTGCCTCTAACCCCTACTTCTCTTACAGCCAGCCCAGCTCCAGGGTTTGATCTTGCGCTCCCAACTCATCGTGCTCCTGAAGCACAAGGTACAGGGCCAGCCAGCAGTGGGTGGAGAGGTGGGGAAGAACAGAGTATGCCCCCTGGAGCCTAATCATTGGCCCCTTCAGGTGTTTGTGGAGAGATCTAACATGGGCCTGGTTCAGCGGCGGCTGAGACTGAAGGACTTTCGTGATGCCTACCCACGCTTCCCCCCAATCCAGTCCATCCATGTGTCACAGGATGAGCGCGAGTGCACCATGGACCTGTCTGAGTTCATGAACCCTTCCCCCTACACTGTCCCCCAGGTGTGTAGGCAGTACCATCAGGCAAGGCCACCAGACAGGGCTGTGTGGCCAGAATATCAGTGGGTAGCTTGGGATGGGGCTATCCAATGGGCCCAATGGGCTGGGTGTTGATTGCCATTAAAGCTCTGTGACAGCACAGTGGGGCCCAAGCAGGCAGGACTGGATAAACATGGAGGGGGAGGGATAGCCCAGGATACATATTGGTATCCCGAAGCCAGGAAATGTGCCAGAGTCTGGGATCTGGTCACCGAGTTGTGGCTGAGGCCGTGCCCATCTTGCAGGAGGCCTCCCTCCCACGGGTGTTCAAACTGTTCCGCGCTCTGGGTCTACGGCATCTGGTGGTGGTGGACAACTGCAATCAGGTGAAGCCACTGATCCATATCCTTCATGGGAAACCCTCTACTAACTCCCTTAGGGTCTCCCTTTCCCCCAGCAATGGGAGGGGGCAGGAACTCTCATTGGCAGGTGGGGCACTGACCCTGAGGAGGCTCTGACCCAGTGTTGCCCTGCAGGTGGTTGGGCTGGTGACCAGGAAGGACCTGGCCAGGTACCGTCTGGGAAAGGGAGGCCTGGAGGAGCTCTCACTGGCCCAGACATGAGGTCCAGCCTTTCCTTGGTGGGCAGCGATACCCCTGGCCCCTTCGCACCTCCTCCCAGGCTCCTTGGTCTCAGCCAAAGAGGCTTGCTCCCTGAGCGGTGTGGTGCCTAGAGCAAATGTCCTCCAGCATGGGCCTGGTGGCGTGGATCTGACCCTCATCATGGACAGCTGGTTTGCATTCTCTGTGCTCCCTCTGGCCCTCAGGCCTCACCCCCTGCCCTTTAGGGATTTGATTAAGCGTGTGTGCAGCAACAGCCCCCCTGTCCCCATGCTCCCCAGAACCAGCAAGAGGGGCCAGTATTTGTGACAGGTAAGCTGTGCCCTGCACCCTGTCACCACTTCTTTGTTGTTTCCCATGAGTACCTACCCTGTCAGGCCAAGCCAGCCTGAAACACCAGCTGGTGGCTCAGGCCACACAGAAACTGGCTTGCCCTTCTCAGCCACAGGCCCCATCTCATTTCTCTGGGCGTCAATAGCCTGAGGTTCCTGGGCCTCAGCTGTGGGACTCCATAAAGCCCCACTTGAGCAACCCCATGCCCAGAAGACATGTGAAATGTGCTCTCTGCCAGAGTCTCAAGAGCTGAGAGTAACCTAAGTACCTGACACCTGATTCTGCCACAACTTGAGCCTTCCAGAGCTGGGCTCATTATTCAGCAGTTGGGAAAGTGGGGTTCTTCACACCTGAGGACCCTGGCATCAGTTATGACTGCAGCAGCCATAAAATACAGACCTCACTGGGAGTGCCTGTTGGCCTCAAAGGAAGCCTGGGCCTACCTCTGGGTAACTGGACAATCTGGTGAGCACCGGACCTAGAAAGCCATGCCTAGCCACTCCACAGTTTGTCAGAGATCCTCCTGCTTGGGCCAAGCTGGATCTGGTGTATCTTGGTCACTGCAAGCCCCTTCCTATGGAACACTTTCTGGGACGCTTCTGTCATGCACCTACACAAGACTGGCAGATGTGTGGAGGCTGGCAGATGTGACCAGCAGTCTCATCCTGCGAGACACTCCCTGTACTATGCTGTCATGGGATATAGGACTGAATATCCTGGATCCTGGGTATGAGAAATAAAGAACTTGGGCACAGCCTACCAGTACAGCCTCTTGGTTCCATCTCGCCTGGGATGTGGGCCTGAGACGTGGGGCTTGATGGTAGTGGGTGTGAGACTGGGGCCTTCTGTGAACTTAACTGCCTTCGGCGGTACCTCAAAGAACACTGCCAAACAGGGTGTAACTCAGTTGCACAGTGCCTGCCTGGCAAGCGCAAAGTCGCGAGTTCAAGTGCCAGTACCAAACAGAAAAAGAACACCATGCCACTCTCACACCCTGCAGGATCGAAGTTGAGGACAGGCCTGCCACCCTCACCTGAGCCCCCAAGTCCGTCCCCATCCCAGTCTCCATCCCTACACTTCACCCTTCCCCCAGTATCTGCTGCCTCTGGTTTCTAGGTCACATGTGCCCTCAGCATGCCAGTATCCTTAGTCCATCCAGGCTCTGCATAGTCTCATCTCATACCTGATTCACCTCAGCCACCTGTCTGGCTCCCCTCCCCTGTCCCTGTCCATCATAGCCCTGCTCTTCTGCCTGGCCCCTCTTTCTCCTTCCCTATTTTCTAGTTTCCACTAACAATTCAACCACTCCCAATAGATTGGGTGTTAACAGATGTCATTGTAGGGAAAAGGCTTCCCTACTACTAGTGCAATCAGTTATCAGGACTGAAGAGGGTACCTCACTGCCTGACCTGGTATTCATGGGGAGAACTGGGATGAGGGACAGGTAGAGTCTGGGGAAGCCCTGGTTAGGCATAGGTCCCTCTTTTATATGACCAGATCTCAGTTGTCTTACTACTGTTTTTCCTAGGTGGGGAAGGGTTGTATCAGAGTTGGACCAAAGGCTATGAAAGACCACCAGGCCTCAAAGATGCGGTACCAAAAAAGCATGTACAATCTCTGTTTCACAGTTGTTTTGTATTGATTACATGTTAAAATGATATTTTCGATATATTAGGTTAAATAAAACAATCAGAATTCACTTCCCATCTCTCCTGACTTCGTGAGTATGGCTGCTGGGAATGGGAAGTCTTCTGGCAGCGCCTCCTTTCAGATGGCTGCTGACCTTGGCCCCTCAGGATCTTCTCAGGGTCACCTGTGGTTTTCTGTCCTGGGCTCTTGCCTGGGCCAGTCTCCTGCCATGAAGGAAACTCTTTGTAGAAGGGCCCTGCTCTGTACCCGAGGCCTTTCCAGGAATGACAGTTTTTTGTTTTTGTTTTTGTTTGTCTTTTTCCTTTTTATCGGTACCGTGGATTGAACTCACAACTGCCTGCTTGCAAGGCAGGCGCTTATGCCGCTGAGCTAAATCCCCAGCCCCCAGGAATGACAGTTAGGGAGACTGTTCAGGGCAGGTGAGGACTCAGGTTTCACTGGCAGTTGGGCTGTGAAGTCACAAGGTTCTGGTAAGGAAAGGATGGTTCAGAATTGCTCTTCTGCCCAACTGTGCCTACCTCCCAGGGATCCTCTGAGGAGGAGACAAGATGTAAGGGCAGAAACCCACTTTCCCAGGCTCTACAACCTTTGATCCCAACTTCTTCATCACTTTACAGCACAACCCCCAGCCACCCTCGTCCAGTGTCCGGCTTTGGTTATTGGAGCACTGGCCCCAGGCTAAATCCAGAAATAAGGGCTGCTGGTGAAGCCATGTCAGGTGAGCTGGAAGCCCACAGGCCCTGGTGCTATGGGGGACAACTACTAATCAACCCCCATAAATATCTGCTGAAACTGGCTAGGTAAGAGCACTGAGCTGTTTCTACTCCCTGGTGCTGAATGTCCTCAGGCAGTGCTCTAGATCTGAGACCCTACCAGATCCATGGTTTGTGACTCAGGGTGGTTAACAAAGGTCACTGCCATGCTTTGGGTCCTTACTACAAGTCTTAAGTTGGAGAAACTGCCCTGAGGGCTGAGTTCTCAAGGCATTCTTCTTGCAGAGCTCGCTGACAGTCCCTTGTCAGGGATGTCGCCCCCTTCACAACCCAGCACTGTCACCCTGGAGGACTTAGATCTGCTCATGGTAGGAGATCTGGCCAGCCCTGAGCCCCTGAGTGTAGAAGAGAACTCCGAGAGGAATGAGTCCAGCCCCCTGGTGTCCAGCTCCCCTCCCCCTGAGCAGGATATCTCCAAGCACTTGAATGAGTGGTAAGCCTGAAGGGTACAGGGCAGAAGGGCTGTGGGGGCGATATCGCCTTACCTCCAGAGTGAGCCCACCCTGAGTAGCTCACTCTGGCCCTGACCAGTGTGGCCAAGTTGCAAGCTGAGGTGGTGTCACTGCGGGGACACAAGGTGCACTGTGAGCAGGCTTCTCTGAGCCTGCAGAGGGAGCTGCTGCAAGTTCATGGGCACATGCAGCAGCAATCCTCAGAGCTCCAGCAGCTGTGGCAAGAGATTAAACGTGTGGCCCACGTCCCGGAGAAGGAGGTGCAGGTGGTGAGCTCCCTCCCCCACAGACCAGTCTTCCTTTCCTGGGGGTTGGAGCCATTGCCTTCTGGACCCTGAGCCTGCCTTCTATGTCCCCACCTGAGTCTGTGCTGGAGAAATGCAGGTTGGATGGCAGATGCAGCCTGGCTAGCCCCACACCTTCCTCTTTACAGTTTTCTGGGGCCCAGAACCAGAACCAGATACAGATCCTGGACAAAAGGTATCTCCACACACACTATGGGCCCAGGCTTCAGAGAAAGCAAAAGGAATGGGGCCATGCTGGAGCCTAGACATTGGCTCTGTGTGCAGTATCTATGCATGGTCCAACTCCAGAAGGCTGAGTCTGGGAGGTGGCAGGGCACTGGCTGTAGGGCCACACACACAGCCCTAAAGACTGCATAGCCTGCACTAGCTAGCTTAACATTTTTTGTGTGCCAGGCTGGTGGAGGTCCGTGAATCCTTGACTCAGATCAGGAGGAGGCAGGCACTGCAGGATGCGGAACGGAAGGGCTCTGGGCAGGAGGCCAACCTCAGGTGGGTTGATTCTGCACCCACCTGCATGTGCCTAGGGGTCACAGCTCACCAGCTCTGTGGTGCAGCAATATGAACAGGACATTCCCTACACTCAGTGCTGAGCTGTCGGCTCCCAGGGGAGGGAGGGTTTCGGATCCGCTACAGTCCCTTTCACTGAGGACTCCGAGGTCTGTCTGTGTTCCTCCTGAGTGGGTTGTTTTCCCTGGCCTGGAGAGGACTGTATCCCATGGCCTGGCCGACTTCCTTGTGGCTACTTAGTTTAGGCATCCAGGCAGCTGACCTGATGTCACCCCACCTGCCTGCCCTTAGGCTAACCAAGCTGTCTGGGTGGTTGAGGCAGGAAGAGCAGGCCCGGGAGGCAGCCTACAGCTCTCTGCAGAAGAGCCAGGAGGACACCAGCCAGAAGGTGGACCATGAGGTGGCCAAGATGCAGGTACCTTTTGGCAGATATGGCTAGCCCAGACAAGGGCCACCAACAGAGTGTGAAAGGAGACCCTAATGTCTCTAGTCTGTGCCTTTGCTATCAATGCAGCTCCCTGCAGCTGGGTTTCCCTATGGGTGGGACATGAGGAGGACTCTGGTCTTGCCCTGCTCTGTGTAGTGGCCTCTCACCATAATGGCACTGCCCATTGACATTACCTACAATTTTAGGTAGTTTCTTGGACATATCCACATTTCAGTGCTCAGCAGCAACTTGGCTGGTGGCAACATGGTTTTGGGGGGTGGTTCTTCATCACAGAAAGCTGTGGCCAGGTATCTTGGTTGCTGCTGCCGCTCCTTCCTCCAGGTTCAGAGGACAGCATGTAAGAGCATAAGAGCACCTCCAATGGCCATTTTCAGCCTCAATGTATCCATCTACAGGAAGTGAGAATTGTAAATTCCCAGGGCCCAATCCCCTGACCCCCACCACAACAGGAGCCTTTCTGTGGAGTAAGGTGGGAAACAGAACTGCCACATACCTCCATGACCCAGGTCCTCAGTTCTGTAAATAGCCTGACATTCTGCTGCACATCTGCTGCTCCTCAAAGGGCAGGATGCAGGTGGTTGCCCAGCTTCCCCCATAGTTCTGCAGGCTGGAGTTAGCCAGCTCCTGTCTCACTGCCAGGTGAGAAGTTAATGAATTGGCTCTGTGGGAAGGGCAGAGGTATTAGGCTAAAGATTCCTAACATCCCGCATATGGGGGAAGCTGCTCCATGTGGGAGCTTTGGCTGCTTTTGATCAGGATGAGGGCTGTCCTTTGCCATCTGCCATAGGCTGTTGTAGGTCTCCCAGCCCCAGCTAGGGCCTGTTCACTGGGGCTGATGGCAGAAGAGCCCTGTGGTATGGACAAGGTGTCTGGTGCCTAGACCCTGTGAAACAGATGGCCAGAGAGCTGACTGTCCCCTCTAGAACCTTCAGATATTGCAGGCAGAAGGAGAGCACACATGGGAGGAAGCAGAGCCCCACCACCACCACACACACAATAGAGCACATGCACAGGGGTGTTTTCACACAGTCACATACACTTCCCTGCCTGACTCTCCAACCTGTGTTGGATGTGGTGACCACTTTGCAGCCCCCTGGCAGCGTCTTGATGGTACTGAGCATGTCTGGACCCATGTGCGTTTGGCCTTCAGGCCCTTCATGACCCAGGAGTCTGGTCTTCTGGGGGACAGTGGCTCCCGTCCACCCTCTGTACCTTCCTGCCCAGAGGCAAGCCCAGCTCATCTCGGCTAAGGGACCATAGAGGAGACATGACTCAATTTCTAGGACACCAAGAAGAGGGGCAGGCAAAGTGTCAAGTGGGCAGCCTGGCAGTGACTGTGTGGCCCCTCACTAGGCCCAGCTCACCAAACTTGGGGAAGAGATGAGCCTCCGCTTCCTGAAGAGGGAGGCCAAGCTGTGCAGCTTCCTGCAGAAGAGCTTCTTGGCTCTGGAGCAGGTAGGGCTCATAGCATGTTCAACCTTGCTATTTATGGTGCTGGTATAGCTGGCTAGGGTATAGACTCACAACCAATGGTCATATCTCCACAGAGAATGAAGGCCTTGGAAGGCACACGGCTTGAGACAGAGAGAAGCTTGCGAGAGGAGCTAGAGGGCCATTGGCAGAAGCTGCAGGAGCTGACTGAGGAACGTGTCCAGGCCCTGTGGGGACAGCATGAGGTGTGCCCTGGTTTCTAGGTGCTGGGTGGAGCCAGGGTGGGCACTGAGGCTCAGGGATGGTTCTCTGCAGCAAGAGGAAGAGGGCTGCCTTCGGGAGCAGTGCCGGGGGCTGGATGCAGCTGTGGTTCGACTCACCAAGTTTGTGCGGCAAAACCAGATGTCACTGAGCCATATCCTGCTGATGGAGCAAAAGGCCCGGTGTGTATCCTCAGATCATAGGGAGCTGTGGGCCAGGGTGGGACACCCTATCTCTCATCTGACCACAGAGGCCCAGCTCAGCAATCAATAATCCTGCCTCCTTCCAGCCCCAGTGGTTCCAAGTAGAGTACTAGGTACCTCTGGACACATCAAGACAGAGTAGTAGCCCCTCTGGCAGGGGGCTCCTGTCCCTCCACCCATCTTAGTGATACCAGTGACAATACCAAGTCCTCTGATTTGTGGAGTTCTAGAAGAATCTAGAGTTGATAACTTGGCTCCCCTTCCTGAGCCCAGCACTGAGGGGTTGACCAGCCTCCACTGATGAAGTCTCTGTTGCATCAACCCCAGGGTCTCCAAGGTGGGCTTGGAAGAAAGTCAGGCTGAGGAGTTGGCCTCCTACATGCAGGAGAACCTAGAGGCTGTACAGCTGGAAAGCAAGCTGGCCCAGAAGGAGACACAAGATGCAGTGGAGCTGGTAAGGGAGCCTGGCAGGTGTGTGTGTGTGTGTGTGTGTGTGTGTGTGTGTGTGTATGTGTGTGTGTGTGTGTGTTTGTGTTTGATAGAGATCCCCATGCATAACACATAAACCCCTAACCAAGCCCTCTCTGACTCACTCCCTGTCTGCTGTAGCTCCAAGAAAAGAGCCAGGTCCTGGAAAAATCAGTAGCCAAGCTGGCGCAGCAGTTGAAGGACCTAGATGACCACTGTTTGGCCCTGAGCTGGAGACTAGACCTGCAGGAGCAGACACTAGGCTTGAGGCTGTCTGAGGTGAGTGCCGACAGCTTGGCAGGACGAGCACTCTGGAAGGATGGCCTGAGCTACCCTGAGCCACTGGGTAGCTGTCCCCAGGCCAGGTGACTCCAACTCAGGACTATGCCCACAGTGACTTTCCCCAGGTTCAGGTAACCCCAACCAGTCCTGAGCTTTCAACTCAGTGACTCTTCTCAGTCCTGGGTGACCCTCATCCATGGCCTCCTGTTCAAAGAAGGGTGGCTCCTGCCACAGCCTCTACCCAGCTCTTGCTACACAGGCCTCTGAGGGCCTGCAGCCATTGCTCATGGCCTTTAGATAGCCCTGGATCCCATATAGGGGCAATGAGGCAGCCTCTGCCCAGGAGTTGTTTCCCTTGTTTTTTGACACAGCTTTATTCAGATCTGGTTCACACCCCAGTCAACTCACACTCAAGAGTGAGGCTCAGTGGTTTTAGCATGTTCTTGCAATGTGTAGCCACTGCTGCAGTGTAGAACTTTGTCATCAGATCTATCAGGATCTCCCTACATTCTCTTCAGCCCCTGTTGTTCTCTTCAGACCCCTAAGCTACTTTCTGTCTCTATGGTTTCCCTATTTTGGACACATCACATCATGAAGTCATGCAGTGTGTGGCCTTTGGTTTCTGTCCCCTATCATGGGGCATGATGTCCTCATGGTCCCTTGCTTCAATGTCTACCAGTGTCTCATTCCCTTGATGGCTATGACATTTCCACTGTGGAAAGTCCATATTTTGCTACCCACTTGTCTGTTAATATACACACAAATTGTTTCTCTTTTTGGGCTGTTGTGACTAGTGCTGTCATAATCATGGTTGTCACCCTTTGGTCTGGGAGCTGGATCCCTGACCAGCCCTACAGCCCTTCAAGGCATGTGTGATCTGAACAGCTTCCAGAAGGGCCCCAGACCCTAGCTTCAGTGCTTTTCCTATAGGATGGCCAGCCTTCTCTCTATCCCTGTATCTATCAGCTTTTGGTGGGCAGCAGCTGGCCTTCTTGGGGGTGTGGCTATACTCAGCCTAGTGGCCTTGTCTGAGAGGATCTAGGACTTTCTTCCCCTGTCTGGTGTGTCTATCCCCCAAGATGCTTGGCCAGGCCATCCTGGGCTGTGTGAGTCTGTGCATCAGTATGCTCGAAATCAGAAGTGGACATGGAGGTACTACCCTTGAGGGGTGCACCACTCCTCCTCCCACAATCTCCTTGTGGCTGGGTTCTACTTAGCCCCATCCATCTTCTATCCACCCTCCTTCTTTGGCCTCCCACCTTTGTCTGAATCCAAGACAAAGACTCAGTGGGAAGGTGTAGAGAGGAAGTCCCTTGAGGACCTGGCCCAGAGGCAAAAAGAGGTTGCAGCCCACCTGCAGGAAGTTCAAGAGAAGGTAGACCGCCTCCCCCAACAGGTGGGTAAAGGTTGGAGGCAAGGTATGTGTCTGGGTGGGCACAATTAGCCTCAGAGACAGAGACTTCTCCCCTTTCCCTTCACCCCTCCCTGTGTTGCCTTTGCTGGGCCTGAACTGGCCTGGAGCTCCACCAGCTGGGTGTGCTCCACATTTCAGATAGAAGGTGTCTCAGATAAGTGTATCCTTCACAAGAGTGATGCAGACCTGAAAATCTTGGCAGAGGGCAAAGCCAGGTAAGGATATCAGCTCACCTCCAATACTCCTGAGAGAAAGTCAGGATCTGTACTGACTGTCTCTGGGCTACACTGGTCCCCACAGTGCTCCCCAAGTGCCTAGCTGCTGTGGCAGCTCCATCCCGTCCCTAACCATCCAGCCCCACTCTGGGCTCATCTTCCTGTGGTGCAGCCTCCCATAGTCCATCAAGCTCCCCTTCTGCCATTCACGGAGGTCCAAGCCTCCTCCCTGCTGGTCTTGCCCTGTACCAATGCTAGTCCTCCATGCCCACAGAGAGTTCGAGGTCAAGGTTATGAGGCAGGAGCTGGCCACTCTGCTGTCATCTGTGCAACTGCTCAAAGAGGACAGCCCTGGGCGGAAGATTGCAGAAATCCAGGGCAAGCTGGCCACGGTACCCTTGGGCCCAGGGAAACCACTGGGCCCACCACTTGCCTAAGCTCTGAGTTGCTCAGTGATTCTGGGTTGAGGACTCAAGGCAGCTGGAAACTAGCAGGAGCCTCAGTCTGTGTCACAAATTGGGCTATATTTAGTTTCAGAAGCAAATGATAAAGTTAGAAACCAGCATCCAGGCCAACAAGACCATCCAGAACTTGAAGTTTAATACAGAGACCAAGCTGGTGAGATGGAGCCCACAGCCCTAACCCCATCCTGCCCCAGCCTAGCCGAGTCTTCCAGCTATATAATCTCCCAAGGGGTCCAGAGGAACCCACAAATTAACTGTGTCTGGCTGATGCTGAGCCTTTCCTTGAAGATAAGGGGGAGATAAGCCTCTGTTTACCATCTTCTCTCTCCCACCCTGCCCTGTCATCAACTTCCACATTCCAGCAGCCGTCCCACCCCCGCTTGGCGCCCCTGTGTCCATCCTGCAGCGTTCAGAGGAGATAGCAGCCCTGCGGGAGAGCATGCTGCGCCTGTGGAGTGAGAAGGGCCCGTGGCCACTAACACTGGGCAGCAGAAGGGTGTTCATGTCCCTGGTGAGGCAGCGGTTTTTCATCAAGGATGTGGCCCCTGGCGAGCAGGTTCCTGTGAACTGTTGGGGCATCTATCAGGCTATGAGGTGGGCAGCAGGAGCTTGACAGCCTTTTCCGGGTCCAGTAGAGGGGATAGGGATTCCCTGAGGGCAGTGGCCAGCAATGGGGAGGTTGTTAGAAGGGGGCCTTGGCCCTGAGTGGTATCTCTGGCAGGTGGCTTCAGTGGAAGGCCATCCTCTTGAATCGAGTGACTCAGCAGAGGCCAGAAGCAATGTCAGAGACTTCCCATAGGGATCCTGTGGGCTTTACCCAAAAATAAACATGCTAGCTCTTATACCTGTGGAAGCCATAGTCCACTGCTGCCTGCTGGTGATGTCCTCTCAGGGGCCTGTGGGGCTGACCAGGATGGAGCAGTGGGAGGGAGCAAGATCAAAAGGCCTACTCCTTCAGGCCTTCTTGTCCTCTTAGCCTAGTCCCTGGCCTGTTACTTTCCATGGCAGTCTGGGAACCCCATTGTACCAGGAAAAAAGTACCCCATCTGTGTTTTCACAGAGTACTCCTGGATGCACATAAATCCCTGGCAGGGATATGGGGAGGAAGGATGCCTAGAAGCTGCATGCCTGAGGCTCAGGCCTCTGCATCCCCTTCCTGGGGCCATTACCTGATCCAGCACTGGCAGAAGCAGCTTCTTGGCAGTAATCTGGGGGGTAAACAGCTATGTTTGCTCACATAATCAGGCATTTCCCTCTCTTCTTGCCTCTCCTTGAAGAAAACATGGTTTATCCCTAGTCTGGCCCTGCCACCTGCCCAGGGACTGTAGACTCGAGCCTCATGGTATGCAGGGCAATGGTGAGGGCTGGCCTGGTATGGACCCCTTCCTGGTCCTTGCTACTGACCTGAATCTTGGGGTGAGCTTGATTGGCAGGGTATAAACCTCTTTGAAAGGAGGCATAAGCATGTAGGCCCATAGCCTGAGGGAGCTGTAGTTCTGCCTGTGCCCTCTCCTCCTGTGGGCACAACGCTGAAGACCCTGTGCTGAGGGAGTCTCTGGGGCTAAGAACTCAGGCCTGCATCTGGATGCCCCCACTGATCCTGACTTCTTACCATGATACTTGTAGGTCCAAACCTCAACAAAAGCCCAGACCCTGCCCTGGGTCTAGACAGACCTTGCCTGAGCTAGTGAGCCAGCTATGAAGTTGCCTGGTGGGAAAGGGTCTTGGGGAAAGGAAGGAAAGTTTGGACAACTCTTGATGCACCCAGTGCTCTCCTGACCCTTGCTTACTTGTTAGGCCTCAGCCAACTGTGCTCCCTCCAGGGCCTGGGTGCCTCCACCTGGCAGCTCAGGGCCAGTCTCAGCTGACCAACTGGCTAGAAGGTCACTAAAGTCTGGCGTACCTGGGTGGAGCAGGCCCAAGGCACTAGGTGCTGGCTCCTTCCAGAAGGATGGGGGCAGCTTTCTCTGGGTCATGGGTGTGATGTGACCATATTTCTGCTCTAGTCTGAGCCTGCGACCAACAGATGTACTAGGCCCTGGGAACTGCCGCAACCCAAAGTCAAAGAGCTCGGCCAAGGGTCCCAGAGGTGGCACCCCACCTGCAGACCTACAAGCTGGCCCTTCTAGCCCCCAAGTTGAGCAGACCCCAGAGTCAGTGGCCTCTTTGTCCTCTGAGGACCCACCCTGGGCCAGGCACATCAGGTCGGCATAGTATAGTTCCCGGGCAGAGCAACTGGCTGGGTGGCTGTCAGCATAGATATCACAGGAGTCTGGGTCCTGCCTCTTGTCCTTAGGGCCAAAGTACCGCTGGATGTCACCACTGATGAGCTGTGAAAAGCGGAGCAATTGCTGTGGGGTCTCAGGACTGTCGGGGCTCTCAGGGGACACGTCTGGGCTCTGGGGAGCCAGGCTGCAACTCCTTGGTCCTTTAGCCTGCAGCTCCAGCTCTTGCTCCACCACCTCCTCTTCCTCTTCCTCCTCAGAAGTTTCTGGGAGCTCTGGTTCAGAGGTCAAGAAGGGCTTATGGGACTGCAGCTTCAGCTGGAAGTCACAGAGTGGCTGGATCACACCAGCAGCCATATCCTTGCTGTCCCTGAACTCCTGGGGACTTTGGGGTAGCAAACACCAGCTGAGGAGGGAGGTAGAGGAGCAGATTAGCAGTTAGGACTGGAAGCATCTTGATAGACTCAAGATTTGCTTGACTCTCCTTGGGATGCTGCTGATCATCTCAGGGAGGAGGAATAGGTAGATGTAGATGGTGGGGGAAAAATATGCAAGGCACAGGTGTGGCTTTCTGGAGGGGGTCCAGTCTCTTGCAGGAGCAGCCAGTCCCTGACTTGTGGGGTCGGTTGGAAGGGACTGTACCACTAGAATCATTAAAATAGTGGTCACTCAGTCCAGATGTAGTAAAGGGAAGAGAGAAACTGCAATGGCCTGGCTCTTCCCAGGCTGGGCTGCCCAGAGAAGTGGGGAGGCTACTAGGTTCCTCCTTGCCTCAGTTGCTGTGATGTCAAAAGCAGTAGCCTGGTGACCACTTCGACCCTGTGTGGCTGCTGTTGGGAGCACTGGAGCCTATGAGGCCGTGCTAACTCAGCCCATCTCATCCAGTCCCAGCCCTAGGTTTTAACTTAACACAATAGGAGAAGGTACCAAGGCACCTTCATGGTGGAAGGAGTGAGCCCCAAATAAAATGGGTAGGGGCTGGGAGATGGCTAGGTTGCCATCTCCTATTGTCTAGCTGACAGTTTCTGGATCCTTGAACTTCACCCCAAGGACAGATGCTACCAGGCCCCTCCACAACACAGAGGAAGGTGAATGCCCCCCAGTAGGAGGGAGTAAAGGTGCTAAGCTTGTGAAGGGGAACTGGGAATGAGTGGCCAAACCCTGGGACAGGTGCACCTCAGGGTCAGGTAATTGAGGCACCTGCCATTCCCTGGTGTCCTGAGGCTGCTGAGTGATGAGGAGGAGGGGAGCTACTTGGGACCTCCCCACTTGGCTGATCACTCTGACCTGACCTCCCCTGCTGACCTGGGTGCCCTGCTATAGGAAGTATCTAGTGGGGATACACAAAGACAGGACCTGGGGAAATTTTCTAAGCAAAAACTTCCCAGCCATACCCCAGCAGCCTCCCAGCCCACCCCAGGCCCTCCTCCTACCTGGCCAGGCTGTACCTCTTCATTCAGCAGGCCTCTTTCCACCTGGGCCCAAGCATTTATAGCTGGGCTCTGCAACCACCCCAGGCTGGCAAATATTTGGCGACGGCATTGTCATCACAGACTGGGCAAACAGACCCCGTTTGCTTTAGCACCCAGCAACCAGGGCCCCACGGGGGGAGCACTGCAGATCAGCCTCACCTGCACACAGCCTGCTGGGGGACCATGGAGTGTTTGCCTCGGGTCCAGCTGGCCCACACCCTGAACCCGAGGACCCTTATCTCAGCTGCTGATTGGGGCCCAGTCCAAGCCTTGTCAAATAGGTGGAAAATTAAATTTCATGCTATTTTGAGTTCTGGAGTAGTCCTCTCTAGAGGACATCCTGCTTGTCTCTATGCTACATACACAGGCTGCTGCCAGCAACCAAACTCTGGAGAAGGAGATGGGACAGAAGCAATAGGACCACTAGCGGGCCTGAGGATGAACTGATGTATGTGGTCTCTGGAGCCCCTGCCAAGCCCCTTCCAGTGACAGGAGGCCTTTCTGGGAAGCTGTGGTCTGTGGAAGCCAGCCCATATAGGACTGTGATGAAAGCCTTGACTGGCAGGAATGCAGGGAAGTTTTCAGTTCACTTGATTGAAGCTCCTGTTGCTCTAGGCTTCCATGGGATGGATGGAGGTGGGACTTCCTTTTCCTATGTCCAAGCTTTCCTCTGGCTGCTGCGACCCACAGTGAAACTCGGGGACTTCGCCTCTTGCCAACTCCCTCAAATACTTCGGGGGTTTTCAGACTTTTTGCCATGTAGTGGTTAGCTTCTTGGAGCCACTGTAATCAATGACCACAAACAAATAGTTTTGGGGGCTGGAGCTCAAATCAAGGTGTCACAACAAGGGTGATTCCTTCCAAAGACTCCAGGGGGAACCTGCCTGGGCCTCTGCTCCTTAGGTTCTTGGCAATCTTTGGTGCTCCTGACCATGGCCACTTTGCTCCAGTTTTTGCCCTCATCATTTTTTAAAAATTTTTGTTTTAGACCCTGTAGCCCGAGGTCAGTATAACTATACTTGATAACATTGGTTCAATGATAAAATTGCCTAATGCCATATTGCTCAGAATATATCCCTATTGTGAAGCTATCTATGGCTATATTTAATTAATTAAAATTTAAAAATTAATTCTATTTTAGAATAAAGCAAAGCAAAATAAAATGGAATAAAGCCAATCCAAACAAGACAGTGTAACACAGGATTTCAAAACAAGATAATAGGAAATCAACAGTGGTTATCATAATGCCTCTTATTGTCTTCAAAATAGCTGCCCATACCTTCAGACATAGTAAAACAAAACAGAAGCAGAATACAACCAATAAAAACAAAACAATGAATGCAATGCAAAATTTCAAAACAAAATAGTAAATCCAAACTCGCTACCATAATGTTACCATTGAAATAGCAGCCCATGCTATCAGATACAACAAAATCAAACGAGATAAAATGATAAAATGTAACCAAACAAAACAATGAGAATGATACAGGATTTCAAAACAAGATAATAGGGAATTAACAATGACCACTACCTTCAGAAGGAGCTCCCCTATATATGCTACATGTATAGATGATCAGACTACAGGCTTTAGGCCTCCAAAGCCACTGAAACACTAAACACTACAAACATTAAGTTGTATTTTACCTCATTAGCTATCATCACAGCCTGTGTTTCTGCAGATCAGCCTGTTGCTTACTGGGGGGTGGGAGTAGGTGAGATGTTGGCTGTTCCTGTCTCCTTGCCTGAACACCAGAAGGAGCTGGCATCTAGCTCTTCCCCCAGTCAGCCTGCGCATGGCACCAACTCACAGGAGCTCTAAGCTTCTTGTTGACTTCTTGTTCTCCTCCCTTGCAATCCATGAATCTGGCCTCATCTTTATAGCCGGTTCGTGTGTGTGTGTGTGTGTGTGTGTGTGTGTGTGTGTGTGTGTCCTTCTAATGTTACTCATTATTGGCTTTAGGACCCACACAAACTCACCATGACATTAGCTTAACTGATAACATCTGCAAAGACCCTCTTTCTAAAAAAAAGTTCACATTTAGTGGTTTCCAAGTACACAGGTATTTGCAGTCCAGCTACCTTCCATATAGGTCATGGTTGCTACCCCATTATTACCACATGTGGCTCTACAGGGCACTTTACTCCTTGCAGCAACCCACTGCCACTGGCCAGGAGGATTTAGATACTGCCTGCTGCGACTCCCATTGCTGTTGGGATTCATTCCAAGAATAGGACAACAGTTCCCTCCCAGCTTGACTTGTGCCCAAGAGCCCTGTGACACTTAATGTCCAAAATCTCCAGCTCCTGGATCTTCACCTGTCCAGGAGGCTGGAAGGGTTGTGAACACCACACCACTTCTCCCTGGGTCCTTGCCCCTTGTCTCTAGTCCCACCCTCCTCAGGTGGGAGACAGCCTCCTCGTATCCCAGGAGATTCCAGTGCACTGGGGTCTGGGCCTTGCTAATGACTGCAGTTATTTCCTGGCATCAGGAAGGCAGATTTCAGTGACCCTCTAGCCACTTTGTGCTTGGTGCTAGTCAGCACCCTGGCCCCAAGGATGAAGACCTCCAATTGCCAACTCTGACAGGTTGCCCACATCTCAGTATGAAATTGTATGCTTGGTGTTTGATCCTGAGATTGGCAAGGACAGGTCGCCTTCAGGTCCCTGGGCAAGACTTCAGGGCAGAGGGAAGGTGACACCATTATCACAGCCTATCAGGCCATATTACTGCCTCTTCCCAGGCAGGAATCTCTGTCTGTGCCCCAGTGAGGCCATGTCCCAGGTGAGCCTGTGTCCTAGTTGAGTCATTATCCTGGAATGAGATCCATCTGTCCAGGCTCAGTTCTTATTGTCCTGTTTGCTTGGGGACCTCTGTCCCCACAGAGTGACCTTAGGCTTGTCTGAGTCCAAGGCTCTAGCATCCAAAGACACTTGTGCAGTACTGACTGTGGAATAGCTCTGTCTCAGCCTCAGTGATCTCCCCTCTGGCCCAGCACTGTGAAACTGTTAGTTCAGACCTGTAGGGACCTAGAGTTAGTATTTTTGGTGACTGCCTAGGCTCGTGGAGCACTATATCCCCTCTGCTACTCTACGCTCCTGCCAGCTTAAGGTGCTTCAAACTTGGGCCTATGGTACTCCTATCTTGATGTGCTCAGGACCCTACAGCTGGACCCCAGAGGGGCAGAGGTCACACCCTCTTTGGCCAAAGCCATAGGGCCCTCTGCTACTGGACATGGGAAGGAAGAACAGCACAAGGAAGTGTCTAGAAAGAAGTCCAAGGCCGCTCTGGCCATGGGCCTGGGTCTGTATGCTGCTTGCCTCCATCTACCAGGTACGCAAGGAAGGAGTCAGCTGGATGCCTTAGGAACAAGGTAGAGGTCCCTGCAGGGAATGTGGACCATGTCCATAAGGTCCTAACCTGACTCGGATAAGACAGAAAGGACATGACATGCTGTGTGCACCCACAAATACCAGATTACTCCATTCATCCCTGGGCTGGGCACTGCAGTTGGGGAAAGGAAACACAGCACTACCTTCAAGGAGATTCTGAGCAGAGGAGGGGCTTTGAGGATTCAGTGTGGGGGCCAGCTGCAAGGAGGCAGTGTGTTCCTACATAGGGAAGAATTTGAAAGGACTTCAGATGATGCCGTGGATGCTGGGAGCTCTGGGCTTTCCAGATGGCCAAAGTTCTTCCAAGGTGGCTAGGGTTCTTTCAAGACAAGGCAGGAGGTCAGAGTTAGAGAACGACTAGAAGATTAGAAGCTGCTGAAAGTAGAAGGAGCTTCCAGGAGCTGGGAAACCTAAGGGAAGCAAATATCTCTATTCATCTCAAGTGTAACCTACGGACACCTTAATTTCAACCCAGTGAAACCTGCTTGGGACCCCCTAACTTCTAGAACACCAAATGTCATTTAAGTCACTCAGGTGTGGCCATTAGTTTTAGCACAGGAACAACAGGAGACTCACAAGAGGGACTGAGTGGCTGTGAAATTAGGACATTTTCCTCAGCCACAGGAAGCATCTGACCCCACAACCTAGATGACACCTTGAACATCTGAGCCTCTGCTTGCCCCTCTAACACTGATGAGTTGGAGAGATAATATATGAGGCTTTCGATGCTGCTCCTGTGAGGCAAGGACAGGAGACAGTCATTTCCCTGGGACTGCCAGCTTCTTCCATGAGAGCCTGGTCTTTAAACCCCACACCTGTACACTTTCTTTCCTCTGTCCTCTGGCTCAGCCATCTGGACAGTGGGTCTGTGGTATGATTTAGGAATCTGCAATGACCAAGGACAGAGGGGCCCATTAGTACCAGATGAAGAAGGCCATCTACTGACGCCAGACTCTTGTCCTTGTCCTGGAGTAATCCTGATGATTTTCTTTGGCTGACAAGCGGCCAGGAATAAAATCATAGCCTGGGATGGAAAATTGTAGTGTGGAAAGAGAGCAGACCAGATGGGGAAGACAAGGTTGGGCAGGGCCTGTGGTGCTGGCATTGCAAACTTGGGAATAGGGACAGCCTGAGGTAGGAGCCTGCACCAGTCCAAGTCATGAAGGAGTTCTATGGGGTGCACTGAAGGGTGATGATAGACAACAGGCCTAAGTATCTTAAGGAATAAAGCTGAGGACCTGCTGGGGAGGCCAATAAATCATCCCTTTCTTTTCCCTTCTGAGTTTTCTACCCATTCAAGATAGACTAGTTTGTCAGACAGGCATGAGGGCTCTGGTTTTTATTTCTGGTGAGGCTGGACTAGAGCACAGCAGCCTGAGGGGTTGCTGTCATTTTCTCAGAGTCATTGTCTGTTTATGTCTAGAGGTGTTGGACAGGTGTGCTCCCCCTGCACCGGTCCATCTGGGCTCTTTAGTGAGCTGAGGCCCAAGCATATGTTTCACTGTCTGTGGGCAGTGCTTGGCCCAGCACACCTGTCCTCTGCCCCCATAAGCTCACATCCCATCTTCAGGTCTCAGTCCCTGGGAAGAGGCTCTGTCCTTCCAGAGGTATAGCCCTGCCTGTCCTGGGGCACCCCATATTGATCTCCCCAGGAAAATCAATAGCTCCAATATGTCACCTCTCAAGTGGCCTTACAATAAATTACCCTACCAATAAGCACACAGAGTTGTAGCCTCCAACTCCCATTAGTGGGACATTAGGCCTCCCATGAAATTTCTCTGTGAGCTTTGAGATAATGAAAGCTGAGGTGTCTGTGTGTATCCCAGGGTTAAGCAGCGAGGTGACCTAGCTGGCTTAGCACAGAGCTTCTTAGCAAGGTACCTGAGGACAGACACAGGAATGGGGCACTTCAGTGAAAGGATGTCAGGAAGGACAGCAGAACTGGGCAGTCCTGAGCTGAGGGGCCCAAGAAGGCAGGACCTTGTCTAGACTAGCTGCTGTCAGAAGCCAGGCAATACCATGGTGGGATAGCAGTAACACTCTTCTGGGGCTATCAAAACCAAAGACCATTGAGCTGAATAAGCTGAGGCCCGAGGGATCAAATCACGTTCAGACATGTCTATTTCTGTCCTTCATCCAGGACATTAATAAAGACTGAGATGAACACACTGAACTGCCCCAGGGTGAAGCTCAAGCCTCTATCCAACTTGTGTTTCTGGACCTGCATGACTTTCTTGGGCAGCTTGTGCTCTTCTTTTCCAAAGCATCCCAACTAAGCAGCTGTCTCACCCTTTTAGCAGCCCCTACTACAGTCCAATCTTAGTCACAGGCCCTCAGCTATCGCTAGGAAAGCCATCTAGAATGTACACCACACACACTTGAGTCCCCTTCATCCAGGCATAATAAGGACCCAGGTCCCTGCAGGGAAGGTTGGTGTGGCAATGATTGTTTTAAGGTAGAGCAGGTAGGATGGGGCCCGGGAAGGGCTGGGAAAACAGGTGCCATTGTTGACACAGCAGCTGTGAATGTCCTCCAGGCCTGGGCTCCCAGACTCTGAGGTATCCTAAGCTCCAAAAACCTCCAGCCCTTGCTAGTTCTGTCTAGTGCCTGTGAAAGTGCCTGGGGGTGAGGACCATGATGAGTCTGGGGCTTTCCTCACCAAGAAATGGGCACGTGAGACAGTGGGCTTCAGATCACAGGTAGGTTGTGATTTTTTTGTCCTGTTTTATTTTTTGGTACTAGGGATTGAATCCACTCGGTACTAGGGATTAAGTCCATTAAACTATATCCCCAGTTTTTTCATTTTTGCTTATTTTTCAGACAGGATCTCACTAACTCACTGAGTTGTCCAACTTGGGCATCCTGCCTCAGCCTCCCAGAATTCTGGGATTACAGGTATGTAACCCCACTCAGCCTGTGATCTAATTTTGTGTGTCCCTAGAGCACATTATGTCTCTTGGAAAGGGGCCTTTCAGGACCACCTGACCACACATGCAGCGCTGGATGGCTACAGGTAACAGTCACCTCAAGAATGTCAAGTCCACTGACCTGGGCCTAGGAAGGAGACCCAAAGAAACATCAGGGCAGAATTGGGTGACAGGGGACCAACTTGAAGGGAAAGAAACCAGCCTCTCCAAACACTAAGTAGGAAGGACAAAAGTCAATGTTTTCTGGCCTCCAACAAATCTTGCAGTTGGAATGGGTTGAATTCATATTTGAGACTCTGGATATAAGAAATGGATATGCTTTACATTGTGCTACCTGCCTATAATCCCAGCACTCAGGAGGCTGAAATAGGAGGATTGCCATGTGTTCAAGGACAGCCTGAAATACATAGTGAGACCCTGACTCAAAAAAGAAAAGAAAAGACACTTACAATGACAACCATAATGAAAGACATAATGACCTCAAAGCAGATACAGATTTTAAAAAATAGTAAAGTTTGGAAAAATGATGGAAATCATGAATGCCCATTAAATGAAAGAAATGGAATCCATGAAATACATTCAAACAGATGTCCAGGAGATTAAAACTTCCACAGTAAGTATATAAAACAGAATGTCTAGAAGACAGAGTTGTGGTTAGTGATCATGAAAAGAAAAACTTCTTTTTTTTAAAGAAAAACTTCTTAAAAATAGCAAGGGACCACAAAAAAATCACTCCAACAGGTACTAGATTATGCAAAGACTAACATAAGATTGATCAGCATCAATGAAAAAGCAGAAAATAGCACAAATAACATAAAAAAATCTCCACAGAATCAATGGCAGAAAAACTCCCAAGCAGGGAAAAAGAACTTAACATACAGATAAGTGAAACATACTTAAGTCATAGTCATGATAAAAAAAATTACATCAAGACATGATAGTCAAGACTCTAGAAATTCAACACAAGAAGAGAATATTAAATGCTGTTGGAGAAAAAAAATGAATCACCAATAAAGAAAAGTCCATCAAAATCACAACAGACTTCTCAACACAAACAAGTCAAAGAGAGCTTGGAGTGAAGTATTTTAACCAGGGAAGACTGATGTACTGCACAAAACTATCTTTCAAAATTGATAGAGAAATAAGATACTTCCATGAAAAAGAAAACCTGCAGGAATTCCTTGACCACCAAACTAGCAGTCCAAAATATTCTGAAAGACATTCTAGAAAGAGATAACAAGGACTATACCTCCATGAATCCCAATGGAATGAATCCAACAAGCAAGGTAAATAATTTAAACAGAGAGCAAAAAGGGAACTAACAACAGGGAAATGACATGACAAGGATAAGTGCATAACAATTATAACCATCAATGTTAATGTTTACCAATTCAGCACTCAAAAGAAACAGACTGGCACAATGGATCAGGCAACAAAATCCAACAATGTGCTGTACACAAGAAACACATTTAATTAAAAAAAATTCAAAGACTGAAAGTCAAAGGATGGAAAACAATACTCCATGTGACACATAAAAAAAAAAAAACAGAGACAGTTATTCTATCTGCAGATAAAGTGGGTTTCAAGCCAAGATTGATCAAGAGAGACAAAGACAGTTACTACATCCTTGTAAAGGGAATAATCCACAAGGAAGAGATAATAATCATAAATACATATGCACCAAATACCCAAGTGCAAGCTTTTACTGTTAAATCAGGAACAAGATAAGGATGTTCACTGTCACCATTCTTCTTCACTACAGTTGTGGAAATATTAACTAGAGCAATTAGAGAAAAGAAAGAAATAAAAGGAATAAGGAAAGAAAGCATTTAAAGTATCATTTGTGAATGACATAATAATATGTTACATAGAAGGCCCCAAAACTCCACTTCTAGATTTAGTAACCAAATTCATTAACATAGCTGGATACAAAGTCAATACTCAAAACCAATAGCAATATCACACTGGGAATGGCAGGGTGGAGGTAGGGTCTTGGTTGTGAGCAAAAACACCTGTATCACCATGAGGCCTCTCTAAAGGGTCACCTTGTAAGCTAGATCTCTCCTTGTCCGTTCTCTGGGACTCTTATTAGACACTATTCGCTACTTAGAACAAAACAAAGAAAAGCACCAGATTTCATTTGGGGAGAAAGGAGTTCAAGGTTTCTGAGTCCTATAGTTGACTGCCCCATGTAAAAAAGAAGGGATGAGAAATGATATTAGGGTGTGGCAAACTGGCTAACAAGTGTGCATTACCTGTCAGTCACTGAGATTGAGGATGTAGATAGAAAAATAGTTTCAAGAACCTTAACCTGTGGCAGAAAGTGCTATCTTCTATTATTCTCTCCAGAAATCAAGCAAGTTTGTGATAGGATGGTCTAAATCTGAAAGCAGCCTGAGGGATGGGGGATACAAAAGAGGTGATCTTTTTTTTTTTTTTTTTGTCTTTTTCCTTTTTAGCGGTACCGGGGATCAAACTCATGACTGCCTGCTTTACAAGGCAGGCGCTTATGCCAAAAGAGGTGGTCTTTAAGCTCTAGGCCACTGTTCTCACTAAGTGGTGCACTCTCTACAGAGTGTACTTTTTTTTTTTTTTTTTTTTTGGCTTTTTTTCATTTTTATCGGTACCAGGGATCGAACTCACGACTGCCTGCTTTCAAGGCAGGTGCTTATGCCGCTGAGCTAAATCCCCAGCCCCTGTACTTCTTTTCCTATATTTAATAAATGCAAAATCTCACTACAATACATCTTGCAGTTGTCTTGACCAATTCTTTGTTCAGGATGACAAGAACCTAAAAGCATTTCTAAGAGTCCATTGCATCCCAGAACTCCAGTAATAGGGGTCTCTTTGTATTTTGTATTTTGTTTAAAGTACTGTGTGTCTAGTGTGTATGACATGATGAACGATAGTTTTCATGTGACAGTGCCATATAAGATGGCGTTCAGAGGACCAGCTTATGAAAGAATTTAGCAATAGACAAAGAATGCAGAAAAGAGGAAAATTTATTTAGATCAAGATATGCTACCAAAGGAGATGGTGCAGTTTCAATTTTTCAAGAGATGAATTCTGTAATAAGGGTGACAGACTAGAGTTTTCATGAGGGTTTCAGGATTTTTTTTTTTTAAAGGGGGTTCTAGATAGCAAATGTGATTATCTAAAGAATGCCTTTTTCTGGATCATTTATCACCTCACAGATCTTCAGGGAACACCTGTACTAAGGTACAGTATTGAACTGTTTACAGTTGCAATTTTGACGATTCCTCAGGTCGTTAGCTTTAAATAAGGTGATAAGGAGGTCTATATCTGTTTTGTTTTGAGATAGGGTCTCACTATGTAGTTCAAACTGGCCTTTTAACTCATGGTGATCCTCCTGCCTCAGCTCCCACGTGCTGGGATTACAGGCATGCACCACCCTATCCGGTTATACCTATCTTTTAAATAAGATGGGTCAGGACTCTTGGAGGAAGGAATGGGCCCTATATCAAAAGGTCGGTTGCTGCTTTATGATCGCCTACTGAAAGTGTGATGCCTTTAACCGAAATTCCTTTGTTAAGGGATTTTACTGGAGTTCAGCCATTAAGGGTTTTAATCTATTTCACTGCCGATAAATGGCCACGACAGTAAGTTCATATTCAGTATGGCTGATTCTAAAGATGAAATGTCGCCAAGTCACAGCTCCCGCAGTTCATAATAGAACCCCCAGGCAAATGAACTTCCGTGCTGCACCTCCCAGAGGCTGTCACATATCTGGATGGCCCAAGTAGTCTGTAGGAAGAGTGCGCCTATGAGCCCCAAGGCCATATATGGCTTCTGGGACCTCGAACAGCGCAGGTGGGCGTGAAGTCCTTTTAGTGTGCAGCGGCCTTGGCCCAGAAGGGACGGTTTCAAGGATCAGAGAAGCCTGGCCCGGTATTCAGGGAAAGTGGCATTACTAAGACACGCACTGGGCAGGAGGCCACGTGCGGAGACCTTTCACCCATCGAATGGAAAATTCACGCTCCTTGGAGATCCAGAGAAGATCCTACAGAGGCTGATGGTCCTGAAAGAGGATATAGAAGGGCATCCATTCCCAATGCTACAGGAGGGTCAGGTTCTCACCCCGGAGGCCTTTACCCTGGTGCAGGTCGCTCCCGGTCGACCTCGTCAGAGCACCACAACCACTCTCTTATCTATGGCCGCTGGCTGCGCTGCTTGGTTGTCCAGGGTAGGATGCAAAACTACACTTCCCGGCATGCTCTTGAGGGTGCCAGGACGGGGCATGCGACGGAAGCGAGTTAGAAGCATTACGTAATTTCCGTTGCGCGACTGGGTTCACGTTTTGTAGTCGTGAGCCCAGCGCTGGTGTGGCGTCCAGCTTCCGATTCTGTGCGACGGAAGTGACGCGCTGCAGCACGCCAAGCGCAGAGCTGAGGGCAAGATGTTTTTCGTCTTGTGTCCACCCGCGGCTGGGTGAGCCACGTGAGATCTAGGCAGGCTGAGGGTGGGAGACAGCGGGCGGGAAAAAGGGGGTGGAAGAAAGCGAGCGGGGAGAACGCTCACTACGTTCCCTCTTCCAGGGCTGCCCGGGCGTTCAGGCTTGTGGGCTGGGCTTCGCGAAGCCTGCATGTACCGCCTAGTGGCCCGGCTCGCGGCCAGTCTTCGGCTGAGCAGGAGGAAGAACCCAACCGTCCCATTCACTTTTCCTCCAGCAAAGCCAACCCGTCTCGTTGGACGGTGGAGGATTCCCTTGGAAAGGTGCAGCAGCGGCCCTGGTGGAAAGTGCTGCCCCTAAGCGTTTCTCTTATGGCTGTAATCATGTGGTGCTACCTCAGAGAGGAGAGCGAAGCGGACCAGTGGTTGAAACAAGTTTTGGGAGAAGAGCCAGAGCCCAGTGATCATCCTGAGGAGCCTGGAACAACTGCTGCCTTTGGGGCAAGAACTTAACAAGACGGCCTATGCGGCCAGCAGGAAGGAAACAACCGACTGCCCTTCGAAGTTATTTGACTTCGCGTTTGACGGTTTTTGTCCTGGTTGTGCGTGTAACTTCCGCCCTAAAGGACTTAGTTGATGCACTTGGCACTTATATGCCTGAAAGCAGAGCAGAAAGGCAGCAGCTGGTAATCTTGCTTGACACCAGTGCCGAAAAGACTTTTTAGAACCATAAAATAGGTTCTGGTTGCACTGTACGTTGTTTTTTGTGATATCTTTGTACAGCCTAATCATGTTTCCAAAGCTGTTCTGGTGACACTTGTAATCGTGTTAATTTGCAGATCATTTGCTTTCCAAGACAATAACTGGGCAGATGAATTAAACTTTATAATATACCATGTTGGGTATAAGTAACAGTTGATGTCAGTTTTCAAGATAGAATAACTGGCAGATGTGTTAAACTTTATAATGTGTTGTATTGGGTATAAATAACAATTGATGTTAGTTTATTAACTGAAAATACATTTTGATAAGGTTGAAGTACGGTGATTTTTTTTTCTTTTGCATTTTGTTTAAAAAAACAAAACTTTTATGCCTGTAGTCCCAGCACCCAGATGGCTGAGGCAGAAGGATTGTTGTGAGTTTGAGGCAGCCTGGGCCTAGAGTTCAGAACGAGTCTGAACTGCATAATGAGACCCTGTCTCAAAAAGAAAAAAAGTACTGTAGTCGGCCAGCAACCTCAACTTCCATTTTCCTCCCTCTTTTGCCTTCCAAATGGGAATTTAAGAAACCTAAACATGTTTGTGGAATAGATCATCGAAATAGTACTAGAAATAAGGAACTTTTTCAGTTTTCTGCAAAGCCTTAGAAAGGCAGCAACGTGCTGAATAGAATATACTTACAGAAGTATTTCTTTTCAGGGCATTAGTTTGGACCCAGGTGTGAGATGTGATGGTAATCTGTAATCTCAGCTATTCTGGAGGCAGAGACAGGTGGGATGACAAATTTGAGGTCACCTGTCTAGGCAACTTTAGTAAAACATTGAAAAAAAAAAAAAGCACCTGGGGTTGGGGGTGGTTCCTATGTTGAATCCCCAGTACCCCCACCACCATTTTGGGTTGCCCTGAATGATACCTTTTCTCAAATATTACTGAAAAAATATTCCTTAATTCTGAATTAAGTGCAAGATACATGAAAGGAGACCTTTATTTACTTAAACTGCTAGTGGAAGTTACTATGTTTATGTTGCTGTAGGTAATGAGGGATTTCTCTAATGCAGATGTTTGAACAAAGGTTTTTAGCTACTCAGTACCCTCTCACAGGAGTCTCTCCACACAAAGTGCTCTAAGTTATGAGAAAAGTAGCGTGGTTACAAACATCAGTGATGTATGCTTTTCATTTGTTTTATAGGTCATTTTTCTGAACTTTCAGATTTTTGTGACATTGCTTAAGATACTGGATTTTTCCATGAGTGTAGGGATAAGTCAGAATTTTTCTTTAGGAGGTAATGAATCACAGCAATGTAACCAGCACTTGGCTACACTGGGAAGGCTGAAAAGAGGTTGACCTATGAAGATCAAGACCCAAGGGCTGGCTGAGTGCAAGCTACTAAGCCATACTTCCCCACAGGAAGCAAACAAAGCAAGTTCATTTTTTAAAAAATGATGAAACAGTTTTTTTTTTTGGTACCAGGGATCAAACGACGTTGTGCTTGCCAGGCAGGCACTTGCCACTGAGCTAAATCTCCAGCCCTAAGCTGAGTTTTTGAAACATTGACAAATTTAGCTCCATTACTTGGTGCCAGTGGGAAAAAAGAACTAAGATGTTTTCTTTTTGGTCTGGTGAGGTTGTAATCTGTTTAGTTGTAAACTATTTTGTTTGAGTAACAGTTATTCAAATCCAAACTTTTACTCTCATTAGCTCATGCATGTATGTGTACACATACTGTGTGTGTGTGTGTAGTTAGAACTAGAACTGTGTTAAAGTAATTTTCTCCTTTATTCTTTGTTTTTTGTCGTTCTGGGGATTGAATCTAGAGACTTGTGACAGAAGCATCATGCCTATTTTTTTTTTCTAGAAGTTATTACGCTAAGCAAGAGTATTAGAAACACCAATAATCTTACCACAGAGGTAACCACTGTGAATACTATGTTACCTTTGTAAATTGTTTTCATGCATAAATACTATTTTTCAAGAACATAGAGGATTTTAAAAAACATTATTTTAGGGTGCTGTATACTGAATTCAGGGCCTGTGCAAGCTAGACAAACACTCTTCAACATGCAGCAGATACTGAGAGCCTTGGCTGGTGACTTCATGTGGAGTTTTTACCTGATTTTACAACAGAGCAGGTTGATATGTGAACAGTTAAGTCTTTTATCTATTTTTGTAGAGTACTTATTTCCCCCACTGAGCCATAGCTTGTGTTTTTCCCAGGGTGCTTGACTTCTCCATATAAACTCCCAGTAAATCTTAAGCATGGTAGAGGACCATTGCAAGCACAGTAGAACATAGGGACTTGAGCAGTGATGCTATGGAGACAACGAAGAAGAAACTGCGAAAAATTAAAATGTCAAGGAAGTGGAGGTTAACTGGATGCCTTTTTTTTTTTTTTTTTTTTTGAGAAAGGGTCTTGCTATGTAGTTTTGGCTGGGCTTGAATTTTGTATCAGCTTTCTAAGTACTGGGATTTTTTTTTCTGCTCCAAAAAGGTGAACTAATACACTCAGTGGAAACCCGGATCCAAGCTAATACTACCCCAGCCTTTGAAGAATATTGACAGTGTGAAACACTGTATTTTTAGTCTTCTCAGCCTATCATACTTTTTTTTTTTTTTTTGTCTTTTTTCATTTTTATCGGTACCAGGGATCGAACTCACGACTGCCTGCTTGCAAGGCAGGCGCCTATGCCGCTGAGCTAAATCCCCAGCCCCCTATCATACTTTTCTTTGCTGTCTTAAGGAAAATGTTTCAGGCAAGAAGAAAATTGAGATGGCTTCTCAACAGCATAAATTCCTAAATTTCTTTATTCTTAGTTTGTTACTTCCTTGTTTGAGTTGTGAGGCTTTCTAGCTAGCTCTACTGTCACAGATTCAAGTGATTTTTACTTGTTCTGTATCCCTTCAAGCTACAGGGCTTGGGGTATACTAGAGGCCCCCACACACATGTGGGTTGAGCCAAGGACTACTCTCCCTACATCACTATCCTACTCCCTATTCACTGTTGAGAACTGACCTGGCTAAACTGCTGGGTTATACTTTTCATTAGCTGGAATTACAGATGTGCATCACCATGCTCCTGAGTACTAAACTTTATCATTCCCTGAACCTAACACCAGTCTTTTTGAGGTACTCAATTCTGAAGAACTCATGGACTGGCCCTTCTTTGTTTCATTTTACTGCTTGATTTACTTTGAAAACATATTCTTGATTTTTAAAAATCAATTTCAAGATTTAAGTATGTTTGTAGAGGTAATGATTCACTGAGAAAATGCGGACATATCCTACGAGCAAGTGGTAATTTTTATTTACTATATTATTTAAAACAATATATGCTTGGACCAAATGATCTTTGAACATAAATTATTGAATCTGATATTCTTCAGGATGGTGTTCCCAAGCAATGCAACAAATTATTTTCCGTGAAAGTTAGGACCTTGCCATCCAGCTGTACTTTTTTCAAGACAGATCTCTGGCAGACATTACAAATTGGAGCTCAAGAGAGGAAACCCTGGAAATATTCCCCTGACAACTCTGTGGATGTTGCATTGATTCTGTATCTAAGATGTCGCATGCTACATATTTACAAATTAATACACTCTAACCCTGGGTTCTCTCCTAAACCCCTCTCAGGCTGAGTCGTACCACTGTGCATCCCTGCCCACTGCGCCGTTTTTAAAAAGTATCTCTATTGAGGTAGAATGTATCCACCTAAAACGCAAGTTAAGTATTTAAGTGACCATTGCTACTATCTAGTTTTAGGCCTTTACGTGTTAAAAGCGAGGGTGTCACGAAATAGTCCCGCCTTCGTCCATTCCGGAGCTGGGCACCGACCAGTGTGTCTGAGCTGGAGCCGGAGCCTGCACCGGGTGCGAGTCGCGCGCTAATGTCCAGGCGTCTGGCTGCTGTGCGCGGAGCGTGGGCGTGGCGGACCGGGGCGTGGCTGGCGCGGTGGGGGGCGCGGGGGGCTCAGCGCGGGGGGGGGAGATCCGGAGGCGGGGGCGCTGGCGCTGCGCATGCGCGCTGCATTGTTTTGACTGAAAATGCCGTCGGTTTCGAAAGCGGCGGCAGCGGCGGCGTTAAGCGGGTCCCCCCCGCAGACAGAGAAGCCGACCCACTACAGGTCAGTGCCCGCCCGCCACCCGCGCCGCCCAGTGGCTGGGTGGCGGCCTGCGCGCGCCCGACCCGGGGCTAGGGTGTCACGGTAAAAGGTGCCCCCTCCCGCCCTCGCCCCCAGCCGTCCGGCCCGGAGTCCGGGTCTCGGCCTCGGTGGGCCGCGCCGTCGAGACGCCAGCTGCATTGCCAGGCTCGCGAGGTGGACCCGGGGTCGGGGGCTGGGCGCGCGCCTGGGGGCACGAGTCGGCGCGCCTCTGGCTGGGATCGGGAAGCGGGCCCTGGGTTTGGGGTACGAGCAGCACCTGGTTTTGGGATAGGCGTGCGACCCTGCAACTCAGGTTGCTGCCACCTGAATCCTGGAGGCGGCGCCCAGATCTGGGGTGGTTCCAGGGCTGGGGGCCGGAGGCCGCGCGGTCTTGGGGTCGACGTTTGCGATTGTGGGTCTCAGGGCCGCGCCTGAGATTGGGGGTCGCGTCTGCGGTGGGGATGAAGGCTGCGCCTGGGACCCATCTGGAATGGGAGGGAGGCTCGCACTTGGGGTCGATGAACCGCGCCTGGAGTCGGGAAAGGTCGCGCCTGGGGCGAGAAACCGTACCTAGGATCCTGGGAACGCGCCCCGACGGGTTCGGCCTCTGAAATCATCTGGGCTTTGAGTGGGGGGCGTTGTGTCTGGGTGGAGGGCTGCGTCTGTGGTCAGGGAACCGCGAGTCCGGGGGCTGGAAAGTCGGGCCGGCTTAGGGAGATGGTGTCTGGGGTCTGAGAGATCGACACTGTGGTCAGGGGTGTGGGGTTTGTGTCTGGGGTCTGAGAGGTCGCTTCCCGGGTAGAGGGGTTGTGCTGGGGTTTGGGAGGTTGCGCTGGGGTTTGGGAGGTTGCGCTTGGGGTAGGAGACCGTGTGTAGCTTCCGGGGAAGGAGCCCGGGTGGGGGTGGGTACCGCCGTCTCGGGTTATTTGGTCTCCAAGAGGGTGGGGTGTTACGCCTTGGGACCCCGCCCAGCCCACAAGTCTCGGGCCGCCCGACGGCGGAGGCGACCCGCAACGCTGTTTGTCGTTTTAGGTATCTAAAGGAGTTTAGGACAGAGCAGTGCCCCCTGTTTGTGCAGCACAAGTGCAGCCAGCACAGGCCATTTACCTGTTTCCATTGGCATTTCCTAAACCAGCGCCGCCGCAGACCGCTCCGTAGGCGCGATGGCACCTTCAACTACAGT